CTGCCCGGTACTACTAAGCTGGGATGACACAGCTGTTTCAGTTAATGATTCGTCCCTTACGACATGGCATACTTTCAAATGACCCTTGTTTCATGTAGAAATATTGATCGGTTTGATTCCCTGAACACACTCAACTTCCAATTGGTTCATAAAATTGACAAAAGTATAAAGAGGTCATCTTCTCGAGGCAAGGGCGTTAACTGACTATAAAAGTCCAGTGTTCATAGTCAGTTAACTCCCTTGCCTCGGGAAGATGAGACGGGGTACGCTAAAACCCTCTCTGGCAAACAGCACATCCGCTCAAGTGGGAGACATCTTGACGTTTATCTTGTGGACGTCGGGCGTGATCAAATTGTTATACACAGGAATAGCAGTCCGTGACAAAAGATGATTTGTTTTCAAATTTCAAATGGAAATCTAACTATTAGCAAATCAACTCTAAGCAAATCCTGTACTGTGTTTAACTACATCAACTACGCAACTCATTTTGGGTGAGGGCGGTCGGGTAGCCTAGTGGTTAAAGCGTTCGCTCGCCATGCCGAAGACCCGGGTTCGATTCCCGACATGGGTACAGTTTGTGAAGCCCATTTCTGGTGACCCCCGCCGTGATATTGCTGGAATATTGCCAAAAGCGGCGTAAAACCATACTCACTCAGTTTGGGTGAAAGAGTTGCTCATGTGTAAATATTAGGAAAAACTCTTCCTGAAGACCCCTAAAAGCAACTATGTATTTAGTGTTGCCATGAACCTGAAGTGGCATGATACAAAGGCTTCATCTCATCTTTTTACTGGGGCTAGAGACAATGATTCTGAGCTTTTTCACGGGCCTATGTACCAGCAGCCTTGTTGCTAGACTGACGTCACAGAGCTACGGAAGCCTTTTAGGGCCATTTGGTTTTTTAAATTGTTTTCGATACTATCTTGAAATTTCAAGATACTATTTTGAAATTTCAAGATATTAAGTTGAAATTTCAAGATACTAAGCTGAAATTTCAAGATACTAACTTGAAATTTCAAGATACTAACTTGAAAGTTCAAGATATTAAGTTGAAATTTCAAGATACTAAGTTGACATTTTAAGATACTTTCTTGAAATTTTAAGATACTAAGTTGAAATTTCAACTTTGTATCTTGAAATTTCAAGATAGTATCGAAAAAATTAAAAAAACAAATGGCCCTAAAAGGCTTCCGTACAGAGCATCGATCGCTGCGCAACCGATTTTTCTAAATTATGTCAAAAGGGTAGCGAGTACAGGGGCTTGTAACGCGAAGCAAAATGTATGGTCACTATAGTACTATAACACTGGAAGTCACAACCCATCTTTCTGATCATCTGACGGTACAAGCCCTCGTGTGTCACCTTTCTCTGACGTGATCTGAACCCGAACGCGCAGACACGGGAGAAGTACAGACTGTAAACATGAGCTTCCGTGGTGATGGGCGGCTGTCAAATCAGCTGTTTCAATCGGAGGTGGTTATTGTGATTTGAAACCTTTGATTGACCAATCAAAATCGAGTATTTTCCAACTTCATGGTAGAATACTTGTTAAACATGTTGAGGTCAACTTGATTTCATGAGCAAGGCATAGATAAGTAGAAATGGTAAAATGAACAATGAGGTGAGCTTAGGTGTAATGGGGTTAGCCGTCGCGTCAAAGGTTATTGTACTTATATATAGCGACGTGCGCGTGCGCGTGCGTGTGGCTGTGGCTGCTTGTACTAGTTCGGACTGATGCCGATTTATAGCGCTAGCACACTGAGATACCATGCCGCAGTTTATAAAGGATACCCCACTCAGACACAATATACTGACTCCGAGCCGACCAGTCCTTGTTTTAGCCCCTTAATACCGAGCGCCAGACAGGTAACAACAAGTACCATCTTTTAACGTCTTTTGGTATGACGCGGCCGGGGATCGAACCCCGGACCTTCCGCTCTCCGGGCGGACGCTCTACCACTAGACCACGGAGGCGGTCTGTACAATGAAAAAGGGGACCATTACGATGTGTGCAAAGTTTCAAGATGAAATAACTACAGGAATGATTCTCAGTCCTGTTACCTGGCAGTGTATCTTATTGTTGATCAATGATAGTAACTTTATTACATTGTTTCTGTTGAGATTAGCCAGACGCTCATTGCATTTTATTTGGACAATGATTATTCGTCAGGAATGCAGTACTGTTAATTGTAAGCAGTCGCCAGGAAGTTACTATATGTAGATGTTGTTGTGACGTGTAAACCTAGTTATTTTTTAAATGATTTGTTGATTGTATACCGCTTGTTGGTTGGTTGTTGGTTTCACACAAACCTTTTTCGCGTACAAATTTCTCGGTTAACATATTCTTTTAATCTGGGAATAGACACGTAACAGTACACAAATTATACATACGTATATATACAGAGAGACTGATCAGCTATAAGTTACATGACGGGAGTATACATATTTATCAATATACCGACTCTTTTGGGGGACAGCCTGCGTTGACGTTTCGAGAATGTATATACACGATCTAAATCAACTGTCATATATATACGGCCCAGTACCTACACACTTCATACAGACTACAAAGCTGGTTTATTAAACTCCTGTTCGGTCAGTGCGCGTGTATAATAGTTACATGATAACCAACTTCATATTGATTCTCAAGCTTCTCCGACGACCCAGAAACTTCAACATTGACTGTTTGATCAGTCCGCGTGCGACCTACACTCGAAGGACAGTTGAACCAGTCCGCTTTGTTATCGTCTGACGTCATAAATACGTTCAAGATATAGGTGAGGTGAGGTGAAATTGGGTTTAACGTCGCGTCCAAGATTATTGCACTTATATAGCGACGTTCAAGATATAGGACGATCCGCAGTTGTTTATGAGGTGAGGTGAGGTGAAATTGGGTTTAACGTCGAGTCCAAGATTATTGCACTTACATAGCGATGTGCATCCATGTGTGTTTGTGGCTGCTTGTACTAGTCCGGACTGATGCCGATTTATAGTGCTAGCTCACTGAGATACCATACCGCAGTTTAACATGAATACCCCACTCAGACACAGTATACTGACTCCGAGCCGACCAGTCCTTGTTTTAGCCCCTTAATGCCGAGCGCCAGACAGGGTAACAACAAGTACCATCTTTTAACGTCTTATGGTATGACGCGGCCGGGGATCGAACTCCGGACCTTCCGCTCTCCGGGCGGACGCTCTACCACTGGACCACGGAGGCGGTCAGTTGTTTATGAAAGCTGAACAGAATGACTTTGCTTGATTCAGACCCGTTCAGCTGGTACCCCTTCTTATTAATTTTCTTCAGAAATATGCATAGCCAAGTACGGTGGCCCATAAGGGACATGGAGGCTGTTTTTCAATATTTTGATATTTCACTTACTTTTATCGTTACCTTTTGCAAATACTTTTCTGTATTTTCATTTTAGTTTTTGACATTTTCGCTTTTGTTTTTGACATTTTCGTTTTAGCTTTTGACATTTAAATTAAGTTTTTGACCTTTTTGCTTTTGACTTTTTCGCTTCCCTTTTCAGCGATTCAATATCTACATTAGACATGATTTATCACATATTTGTATGACAAATCGTGTTAATTTGTAAAAGGGTACGATAACAGTAAGGGAAATATGAAAATATTGAAAAACAGACTCCATGTCCCTTATGGGCCACCGTAGCTAAGTTCTGCAAAAATAATATTAATTCATCAGATGTAATGTTATCTTTGTTTGTTGTTTCACGCTGGATTCAGCAACATTCCAGCTATATGACGGCGGTCTGTAAAAAATCGACCAGACAATCCAGTGAGTGTCATCATAAGCATCGATCCACGCAATTGTGATACGTTGACATCAATCAACCAAGTCAGCGAGCCTGACCACCCGATCAGTCGCTTAGTCGCCTCTTACGACAAGCAGTCACCTTTTACGGCCAGCCTGGGTTACTGAAGACCTAATTTAACCCGGTTCTATCCAATGTCTCAGACATGGCATTGATAAGAAATTCTATATGAACCCTGAACTATATCACGTCTCAACCAGACAATCCAGTGATTGACATCATGACCATCAATCTACGCACCTGGGGAACGATGACATGCTTCGAATAAGTCTGACCACCCGACCCGTTAGTCGCATTTTACAAGCATGGGTTGATGAATCCCGATCTTCACTGGGTATACGTTTCAGGTAAACTGTGTGTAGGTGTAGATCTAGGTATTGGGTGAAAGGTCGATGGGGTAGCCTAGTGGTTAAATCGTTCGCTCGTCACGCCGAAGACCCGGGTTCGATTCCCCGGGTACAATGTGTGAAGCCCATTTCTGGTGTCCCCGGAAGTGATATTGCTAAAAGCGGCATAAAACCATACTCACTCACTATTGGGTGAGATGTGTTTGGTAAAACTATAAGTCACCATAGAAATGTAGCAGGTGTACTACATAGCGCACCATTAAAAGTACTTCATGACGTACATGCTAAGGCTGGGACGAGTCCAAAGTTACTACCCGGGTACCCAACCCCCTATGACCCGAGCCAACCCGGGTACCCACTGTAGGTCTCAGGAGATGTCTCAAAATGTCCGATTGGGAACATTTTTAGCAAATCCCTGGCAAATACCATCTTTTAACATATTTTGGTATGATGTGGCCAGGGATCGATCCCTGGATCTTCCGTTCTCCGGGCAGACGCTCTACCACTAGACCATGGCGGCGATCTTATCAACAGTTAGGTAGAGCAGGGGACAAACTGAAGATGCATGAATGTCTTGCACCGAAGCTGGAACTGCCTCAGTGGTGATTCCTCTTACAGTGAGTGAGTGAGTGAGTATGGTTTTACGCCACTTTTAGCAATATTCCAGCAATATTATGGCGGGGGACACCAGAAATAGGCTTCACACATTGTACCCATGTCGGGAATGGAACCCGGGTCTTCGGCGTGTCGAGCGAACGCCTTAACCACTAGGCTTCCCGACCGCCCCGATTCCTCTTACAATAAACAACAACGCTGATGTAAAATTGGTATGATTTATCAACATATTGATGACCGTTCTACACAAGGCATATTTCAGTAGTCCATAGTTTGCTGCTAAAACAGCATCAGTGATACAGGAGTCAAGAAACACTAAGTCCTGCAGGTATCAGTATCAAGCATAGTGTCCAACGATAATCATTATCTACTTCAGTCATAGGATGACGCTACCTGAGAAACCTACTTGAAAGAGACACATAGAAAATAAAGGACTCAATACTAAAAGCTCTGAATAAATGTGAAATATAAATTGATCACAACACTATTACCATAGTTCACACAGCACCAGTCAACAAAATCGCTTGTCAAACATTCAACTTGTATACACCTGTCATATATATAGATTGCCAACCATCTGTCAATGAAGCAAGCCAAATCAGTGCAGTGGAAGGAAGACTTACATTCTATCTGAATACATCCCTTATTTTTGGTTACAGATTAAAAAGGAAAAACTTGGATTGTGGTTTAATCTTTTATTTTCTCAGGCCACACATTTTATATTTTCATTTCACGGGCCCTCTGCCCCAACTAAAAAGCCGCCAGAAAAAAAAATAAAAATATTATTAGTCTCCGGCTAGTAATATAGACCCAGGTTAAAAAGTATTACCTGTATACATTAATTCCATGTCTACATCACCATCAGTGATTCAAGTGCCAGCTGCAGGTTTCACATAACGGCAGAATGATTTTCATACAAATAAATAAATAAATGATTGCCATGGCTATATATTTTTATTTTTATTTAGCCCAACTTTGTGTGGAAAAAGATGGAATATATCCGTGAAACATAAAATATAAAAGGTATGGCACTACACAAAATCAACAATATTACATTATATCAGATAATATCTGAAAATTATCCTCAAAAAATATTGTACTGAACACAGTGTTATTCTGAATCACTTCACTCATTAATCAATTTGATCCCAATAAATGTGTTGCGTTGCCCTCTCAACAATACATCTAAACCTAGCAAACCCTTTACACGGCCACCCAAGGAATCTGTCAGTAGCTGAGCAACTGGAATGAATACATAAGAATGAAGATATTTGTTCTTACAATTTATGATGGCCTCTTGGAAGAGTGACACGTGTAAAAGGGTTAACGCCAAGTCCTCATTGAGTCTTAACACTAGTGTTGTATTATGTGGAACTGAGCGGTCTAGTTAGCTGCTGGAGAAATGATGAACCTATACACAAGGGCCGCGGCGATGGCGATACCAAGGGGAAGTAGCCACCCTGTCCAGCTGCTTCCTCTGAAACAAAAAACTCAGAACTAAGTCATGTTACCTGTGTTTGAGTGTTTGAGTGTTTGAGTGAGTGAGTGAGGTTTTACGGCAATTTTAGCAATATTCCAGCAATGTCATGGCGAGGGACACCAGAAATGGGCTTCAGACATTGTACCCATGTCAGGAATCGAACCCGGGTCTTCGGCGTGACGAGTGAACACACTAACCACTAGGCTACCCGAACGCCCCTACGAGTGTTTGAGTGAGTGAATTGTGTTTAATGCTGCTTTTAACAGTATTCCAGTTATTTCACGGCGTGTGTGTGTGTATGGGTATGGTGCTGACAATTCTATAATCATAATCAGGGCGAACCGGGATTCAAACCCACAATCATACATTTTTAACAAGGATATGTCATTTTCTACAAAGATAAGGTTTTTCAAGCAATTTTGGTGATTTTCAAAGTTGACACTAAAATTCAAATCTTTATAAAGAGGGACCTTAAAATTAAGGCCTTTTCAAACCTGTAATACCTGAATACTGTTCCACCTCCAGTTTGAACACCCATTATTGGTTATTCAACCTCAATGTGGAGTGTAACACATGGTATTGTCCCATGAACTAAACCAGCAGCCAGTGTGTCAATCAATGGGGCAATATCAATGTTACAAGCACTGCTCATCCAGGCTCAAGTCAGCTACCACTACACAGTAGTGATAACACAGTGAGTTCATCCTGTCATCACAGCCAAGTGGCATTGTTTCCCATTGGGGTGAGGTGAGGTGAAAGAGGGAATGTTGCATCCAAATTATGGCACTTACATGTGCATCCATGTGTGTTTGTGGCTGCTTGTACTAGTCCGGACTGATGCCGATTTATAGTGCTAGCCCACTGAGATGCCATGCTAGGGTTTAACATGAATACCCCCACTCAGACACCGTATACTGACTCCGAGCCGGCCATTCTTTGTTTTAGACCCTTAATACTGAGCGCCAGGGAGGGTAACATGTGCCATCTTTTAACGTATTTTGGTATGACACAACTGGGGATTTTCACGGAGGTGGTCGTCTCCCACAGAGAAAATATTGTCCACAGATGAATAACAGTAATGAAATGCATATGATGAAAAATCTGATAACATGCACAACACCAATATTACATTACAGCAGTTAAGGGTGTGTGGTATTACAGGTACACCAGGATATTGTGGTGCAAATCTTCAGCAATACGTATTGTGATACGGTTGTAAATGTAGCAATTTATTGGGGCAAATATAAATAAGTATATTTATGAGTTCCTTATTGATATGGAGATGGAAAATAGTATCTTTCTGATACAACTTGCCTCCGACGATCTTTTTATCAAATAGTGTGTACTAGGACAGTATCCATACATGAATTGAATTCGTTATTTGTGGCCACTAGAATCGAATATTTATGAATATGCAATCATGTGCATTTACATACCCTGTACTTAAAACATCCATAAGAACATATGACATGCATAGATTTCTTTAAAGACAACACTCTTATAATATTTAATTTGACAGGAATTTAGTCACTGGTCATTGTAGCATTTGAGCAGATACTAAGACTAAGTACCTGGACAAGTGCAGTATATAAATGTACATGTATAATATAGATAATTAACAAACCATGTCAAATAATTTAAGTTGTTAATGTTTCACTGAATATAATAATAATACATCAACTACTGACTTATTATTGTATTCGTGAATTAATATTCGTATTCATTACCCTATATTCGCCATACGAATCACATTTGCCTCATAGGTTATTCCTTGCAGCCCTAGTGTGTACACATCGCGACTATCAAGCTCCTCACAGTGATAGCCAGTTTGCGGAGCTCTCTATATTGAGAGTATGACGAAGGTGTCACGCGATGGGAAGGAGCTTGCGCTATCATGTGACCATATTATCTCCCTTGATTGTTGCTGGGATACATAATGGCAGATGATTTCAACATCATCCCAAATAGGCGAGCCAAGGCTGATATAAATGTAAATTGGCAATATATTGCAATGCAGGCTCAAGTATAGCAATATATTGCAATACAAAATCAAGGTCAATACACAGCCCTAACAGCAGTAGTAACACGTTTGTTGACATGTCATTTCCAGTGTCAACCTCATAACGCTTTTAATGGAGGGGGAGGGGGATATTAATTGTATGCAAGTAACTTGAATAGCAGTAAACAAGAGCACATAAAACGCAATAAAAATGTTTTTTTAACTTACTCATTTTGAACTCCAACTTGTGGACCAGTGTTGGTCTGAAATAGAAAATGACAACAGGTGTGACAAAGCAAAAAAGTATCTAACGTGTCTATATCATTAAATTTGGAACATTTGCTTGAAAGGTTTTCAAGAAATTGCCATCCAAAGTAACAGCACAGACATGTCTGCAATGGTCAGACCTTTTCTCCTGGTCAAACTTGTTTCAAATAGAATGGAATTTTCTTTTTGGCTTGTTGGCTTTAAATATCTACATTTGATAATACTCCTTATCAAAACATTACGGTGCACACTGGATTACAGTTCTTGGTAACAGCCCCTTTATTTGATGACAAACCAATCTGTCAATAACAGCATTAACATAGTATAGTAACAGAACAGAATTTTTGTAACAATATGAATAAATCTTTTCAATCATATTAATTACGTGTTCGTGAAACATAGAATGACAATGCCTTTGTTCCTGCTTTTGCGTCTTCCCGAGGCAAGGGAGTTAACTGACTATGAAAGTCCAAGTTCCACCCCAGCCGAACTAGGCTGGAATTTTATGGAGTTATATTGGACTAACGAGTCTATGCATAGTCCAATCAAAATGGCAAAACAAAATTGACATCTAGTTCGTAAACTGCCATGCAGATTTCGGTTGATTGATGAATTTGCAAAGCATGTGTACCGCCAACTCGGCATCAACAGATATTTCCTAAATCTTTTCATGTTTTTAATCAAGGTGCTCTCCTGATTTGATGCACTTCGCGAAGTAAGATCGTTTTATCACAAAAAAAGTTTTGATTATCGATCGGATCGCCTTGACTGTGTGCCTCCATTTTGTTTTCATCAAAGCAAATGCATGTGATATTAGAGGTAGAATCTGATTGGTCAATAGGAGGGCCACAGAAGGGACATAACACGTAATAGCCACAGCTTGCACTAAAATCGCGCCCAGAAATTCCAGTCCAGTTCGGAAAGGGTGGAAACTGGACTTTTATAGCCGTTCAACTCCCTTGCCTCGGGAAGAGATGTTTTGGCTTCAGATATGAGTATCTGAGTCTCGGGTATTGAGTACTGTTTACTGGATTGCTCAATCTGGTATAGTGGCAACAGCACAGACACAGCTTGGTAACCATGGTAACTGTCTATAATTCAGGGATGTGAGCAGGTTTTTGCTCAATCTGGTATAGTGGTAACAGCACAGATACAGTTTGGTAACTGTCTATAATTTACATGATTTTGTTTTGCAAATATTGTTCACAGCACTGGGTGTGTGTGTTTAGAAAAGGTCTTTTGATCCTCAGCCAGTGTTCACAATTTTAAGGAACATGCTGCTAATTATTGTGTCTCTGCATACAGTAATGTACCAAAGTTTTGGTTACAGCATAGACAGGTGAAGGTAAAGGTATATAACCACCTGTCTGATTGCATGTGTTGAACGTCAGAGTATTGTAGAGGCAATGCAAAGTTAAATCCTATTCTTGTTCATGTCGTTGTAAATTCAGTTATATTGATCACTACAGCATGAATAGGACAGCATATATAAATACTATAGTTAAGTTCCACATAGAAAATACATTAAAAAGTACTTTTCGAAATAAAACTGAAGGCAACTTTATGCTTCCAGAATTAGAATTGCACTATCTGCAAATGAAACAGAGAGGGTACAGGGCACGACAAGATCAGGATTCCTTTAGACATGCTGCGTATGTAGCAAAACTAAGAGAAATACAGACATTGTTCTATTATGATGTCATTACTGGCGATTCTACATGCGCTCGCAACTTGATGATGTCGTGTATAGGAGTGAGTGAGTGAGTGAGTATGTTTTACGCCGCTTTTAGCAATATTCCAGCAATATCACGGCGGGGGACACCAGAAATGGGCTTCACACATTGTACCCATGTCGGGAATCGAACCCGGGTCTTCGGCGTGACGAGCGAACGCTTTAACCACTAGGCTACCCGACCGCCCCATCGTGTATAGGACGACATTATTTTTAAGAGGTGAGTGTCTAGTGAGTTGTTCCCAAAAGATGTAGCTGAGCTATGCAGATAAACGCGACAGCCGAACGATCGCATCAAAACGATACTGGGATAAAGGTACAGGTAATCGATGTGAGGATTCTGAGAACATGCAGGAAATACCCACCTGTGCATAAAATGGACTTGTCAGACATTGCTGACATCGGATTCTACTGACGGAGTCGTCATTATTTAAATATGGGTAAATATTTCTAAAGCTTGTACATGTCATCATCCTTAAAGAAGCTGTACATAATGTTGACATCTCATATAAGAAATAAACGACGAGTGGGAGTTGTTTATCGTACAATAAAACACTGTAGGGAGAATAAACCATGAGGGGTGCGGATCAGATGTTAATGAGATTGGTTTCTGTTATACATGAGTGAAAGAGTGGAAACATGGAGCGATGTTATGGTAATAGTGAGAGATCAGCCAAACATGCCAGTGGTTAGTTAACAGGGAGTCTGAGAGAGATAATCCTTGGTTACCATGGTCACAAGTGAAAGTTTGTTCTTCCTAGTGGCCACCCATCTAAATATGTAAACACAAAAGCCTAACTAGCATCATGAAGGCTCCATTAAACTGTAAATAGCTCCCCACTTTGGTGGCCTAACTAGCATCATGAAGGCTCCATTAAACTGTACATAGCTCCCAACTTTGGTGGCCTAACTTGCATCATGAAGGCTCCATTAAACTGTACATAGCTCCCCACTTTGTTGGCCTAACTAGCATCATGAAGGCTCCATTAAACTGTACATAGCTCCCGACTTTGGTGGCCTAACTAGTATCATGAAGGCTCCATTAAACTGTACATAGCTCCCCACTTTGGTGGCCTAACTAGCATCATGAAGGCTCCATTAAACTGTACATAGCTCCCCACTTTGGTGGCCTAACTTGCATCATGAAGGCTCCATTAAACTGTACATAGCTCCCCACTTTGGTGGCCTAACTAGCATCATGAAGGCTCCATTAAACTGTACATAGCTCCCCACTTTGGTGGCCTAACTAGCATCATGAAGGCTCCATTAAACTGTACATAGCTCCCCACTTTGGTGGCCTAACTAGCATCATGAAGGCTCCATTAAACTGTACATAGCTCCCCACTTTGGTGGCCTAACTTGCATCATGAAGGCTCCATTAAACTGTACATAGCTCCCCACTTTGGTGGCCTAACTAGCATCATGAAGGCTCCATTAAACTGTACATAGCTCCCCACTTTGGTGGCCTAACTAGCATCATGAAGGCTCCATTAAACTGTACATAGCTCCCCACTTTGGTGGCCTAACTAGCATCATGAAGGCTCCATTAAACTGTACATAGCTCCCCACTTTGGTGGCCTAACTTGCATCATGAAGGCTCCATTAAACTGTACATAGCTCCCCACTTTGGTGGCCTAACTAGCATCATGAAGGCTCCATTAAACTGTACATAGCTCCCCACTTTGGTTGGTTGGGTTGTTGGTTGGTTGTTTAACGCCGCACTCAGCAATATTCCAGCTATATGGCGGCGGTCTGTAAATAATCGAGTCTAGAACAGACAATCCAGTGATTAATATCATGAGCATCGATCCACGCAATTGGGATCGATGACATGCATCAACCTAGTCAGCGAGCCTGACCACCAGATCCTGTTAGTCGCCTTTTACGACAAGCATAGTCACCTTTTACGGCAAGCATAGTCACCTTTTACGACAAGCATGGGTTGCTGAAGACCTATTCTACCCCGGAATCTTCACGGGTCTCCCCACTTTGGTGTCCTAACTAGCATCATAAACAGGATAAAGGCTCCATTGAACTGTCACTCACCTTGACACTTTTGTTACTCTTATCATCCTGGAAGAAGAAGAAAAACACCATTGTAAAAGGATCTACTCAAATTGCTGCCAGGTGTTCTTGTAATCAATTCTCTCACCCAGCATGTTGATATATATATATATCAGGATTTCAGACTGGTTCATTATCTTGGACATTAACTGATTGATATCAAAAATATCCCCAAAATACTTCAGGTTTTTTCTAAGTAATGAGCATTCTAATGTCATTTGACCCTCAAAAATCACTGGTCATAGCATCTTGGTTGAAAAACAGTACCTAAGTGTGTATCTATCTATCTATCTATCTATCTATCTATCTATCTATGTATCAAAATGTTAATTCAGAAGGAACAAGTGTTCTAAGTTATCTCAGAAGATTGAAGATTTGGGGGTTCCCCAGAATAAGGATTAAATTTTTAAGCAGCTGACGTCTACATGCTCAAAGAAATATGACCCATCTAATTCGGAGTAGCCTAGTGGTTAAAGTGTTCGCTTGTCTGAAGACCCGGGTCCAATTCGCCACACAGGTACAATGTGTGTGAAGCCTGTTTCTGGTGTCTCCCGCCGTGATGGTTGGAATATTGCTTAAAGCGGTGTAAGACCATACTCATTCAATTTCAAACACTGAAGAAGACCCTCAAGATGCAAGTGTTAATGGGTACTTATTTCAATAAACCTTAGGTAATGCAACATACAAAGCAGATCACATCTACCATGCTTACAATATCTGAATACAAAATTGATGGGCATATCAAAAAGCTATTGGTGCCTGGCTTTAAATCCCCCGTCATGTTAGAGCGAAGTAAAATATCAACCCTGCAATTCCAGACAAATTATCATATGCATGTATACTTTGAGATTCCTAATTGCTAGAAAGATACTTTAACTTCCCTGAAAACAGGGCAGATTGTTATGGGCTTTGTCTTAAGTCATTATTTTCCTCTCTCCTCCTCAAGGCTCAGACTACCCACCTCATGCACGTTCCCGATCAAATAATCCTTCATCAACTCCCGGGCATCTGTCGAATGTCCTACATCTTCAAAAGACTCTGTGGCATCATCACCTGTAGGAATATGGAGAATATATTAGCTGACAGTATCAAAATAAGAACATGCTGATAGTGATACTACATTTTTCATCAATCATGTTAATATAAAGGTTAATTTCAATGTTAAAAATGGTGCCAACATACTGAAGCTGTAGACATTCTGATCATACTTTAACATGACATAGGTCAAAAATAGAACAAATGACTTGTATGCAGCTATCGCTGAGGTGAATGTTTAAAATACCATGACATTGCATCAGATCACAACATCTAATCACAATGAAATTTCACATGATCATGATCATGGATGAACAACATGTGATTCTCATGCACACAATAGCTAAAGTGTGTGCGCCCAGGGATAATTTTAGGGTGGGACCTTGTGCTTTTAGCCCCTAAATTTAAAAAAAAGGCCCACATTTTCAAATACAATGGGGCATTTTAACATAGTGCTTTATGGGTGTACCTCTGGAATATTTGAAAATTTCACACAAAGGCCCCATGTCAGAAAATTCCTAGAGTGAACTCTGTGTGCCTATAGGAAAACTCACAATCATGAATGGACTCACATTAGCACACGTTTAAAAATGTGTCCAAGACAGTATCTCAATGAACGGATAAAATGGTGAATTGTGAATATGATAGAAGTGGTGCTGTGAATATCCCAAGTTGACCGAATGTTTGTCATTTCGCGACTGTAGGACAAGTACAGTCACACTGCTGGGGTTGGAATGAGACCTGGGTGTGGGGGCCTAATAAGGCGACACCCAAACAAGATCTTCATATCACATTAATTGCACTACACAATAGATATAAATTTGCTCTTGTAATTAAAAAAGAATTACATAAAATTACAGGAAGGCGAATTTCAACATCAACCATTAAAAACCGGCTCTATACAAAATTCTGACAATCATGTCATAACATCAGTGTGAGTCACATGCTCGCATAATAACATCCTTATATTTATTAGATCTAAAGAATAATATTGATCAAGTTGATTTTGATAAAAAAATTTATTAACAATAAACATGATGAAGATGACAGTTGAGATTATTTAATAACTTCTGAATGGTGACCTGGAGATGAACTGTATAATTTTGAGTTTAGTATTAGGTATGCAAGTCTGCGACAGGTTGCAACGTGAGCCTGCAACGTAATGAACTTCATTAATTAGGCAAGGCATGTGACCATGGTGACATCCAACAGCTCAACACACAATGCCATATAGAAAGTGGTCAAATGTAACAAATGTTATATTTGGGATAACACTTGTAAAGTACAGAGTCTCATACTTTCATGGGTTGAGTCCCATCCGGGATTCAAACCCACACTGCCAGAGTAAGGCACCTAATTGCCAGCACACAAAGTCAGCAACCTGACCCACTCAGCCACAGAGGCTTCCACAAAAATGAAAGTCCGACAACTGGTAGTCTAGATCACGTACTTTGCATACCCCTATAACAAGTGTAAATTGGCACGGCAACCATCCCCCAAACTATGAACACACAATGCCATTTAGAAAGTGGTCCTATGTAACAAATGCACAAGGCTGTGTAGATTACCTGCTTGCTCCAACAAAACCTCCTCCCCTCCTGGGTGCTGAAACACATCAACAAGACGGATATTAGGGAGGGAATTTACGGATGTCAACTTCTTTATTATGAGGAACACATCATTGTCAGTGCTAATTATCTAGCTGGCCGCCATTTGTCCCTCGTCATTTCCATTCTATTAACTATCAGTGCTAATCAGGCCCCGTCCACCCGTTTGTCCATTGTCATTTCCATTCTATTAACTATCAGTGCTAATCAGGCCCCGTCCACCCGTTTGTCCATTGTCATTTCCATTCTATTAACTATCAGTGCTAATCAGGCCCCGTCCACCCGTTTGTCCATCGTCATTTCCATTCTATTAACTATCAGTGCTAATCAGGCCCCGTCCACCCGTTTGTCCATCGTCATTTCCATTCTATTAACTATCAGTGCTAATCACGCCCCGTCCACCCATTTGTCCATTGTCATTTCCATTCTATTAACTATCAGTGCTAATCAGGCCCCGTCCACCCGTTTGTCCATCGTCATTTCCATTCTATTAACTATCAGTGCTAATCACGCCCCGTCCACCCATTTGTCCATTGTCATTTCCATTCTATTAACTATCAGTGCTAATCAGGCCCCGTCCACCCGTTTGTCCATCGTCATTTCCATTCTATTAACTATCAGTGCTAATCACGCCCCGTCCACCCATTTGTCCATTGTCATTTCCATTCTATTAACTATCAGTGCTAATCAGGCCCCGTCCACCCGTTTGTCCATCGTCATTTCCATTCTATTAACTATCAGTGCTAATCACGCCCCGTCCACCCATTTGTCCATTGTCATTTCCATTCTATTAACTATCAGTGCTAATCAGGCCCCGTCCACCCGTTTGTCCATCGTCATTTCCATTCTATTAACTATCAGTGCTAATCTCGCCCCGTCCACCCATTTGTCCCTCGTCATTTCCATTCTATTAACTATCAGTGCTAATCAGGCCCCGTCCACCCGTTTGTCCATTGTCATTTCCATTCTATTAACTATCAGTGCTAATCAGGCCCCGTCCACCCGTTTGTCCATTGTCATTTCCATTCTATTAACTATCAGTGCTAATCAGGCCCCGTCCACCCGTTTGTCCATCGTCATTTCCATTCTATTAACTATCAGTGCTAATCAGGCCCCGTCCACCAGTTTGTCCATTGTCATTTCCATTCTATTAACTATCAGTGCTAATCAGGCCCCGTCCACCCGTTTGTCCATTGTCATTTCCATTCTATTAACTATCAGTGCTAATCAGGCCCCGTCCACCCGTTTGTCCATTGTCATTTCCATTCTATTAACTATCAGTGCTAATCAGGCCCCGTCCACCCGTTTGTCCATCGTCATTTCCATTCTATTAACTATCAGTGCTAATCAGGCCCCGTCCACCCGTTTGTCCATTGTCATTTCCATTCTATTAACTATCAGTGCTAATCAGGCCCCGTCCACCCGTTTGTCCATTGTCATTTCCATTCTATTAACTATCAGTGCTAATCAGGCCCCGTCCACCCGTTTGTCCATTGTCATTTCCATTCTATTAACTATCAGTGCTAATCAGGCCCCGTCCACCCGTTTGTCCATTGTCATTTCCATTCTATTAACTATCAGTGCTAATCAGGCCCCGTCCACCCATTTGTCCATTGTCATTTCCATTCTATTAACTATCAGTGCTAATCAGGCCCCGTCCACCCGTTTTTCCATTGTCATTTCCATTCTATTAACTATCAGTGCTAATCTCGCCCCGTCCACCCGTTTTTCCATTGTCATTTCCATTCTATTAACTATCAGTGCTAATCAGGCCCCGTCCACCCGTTTGTCCATTGTCATTTCCATTCTATTAACTATCAGTGCTAATCAGGCCCCGTCCACCCGTTTGTCCATCGTCATTTCCATTCTATTAACTATCAGTGCTAATCACGCCCCGTCCACCCATTTGTCCATTGTCATTTCCATTCTATTAACTATCAGTGCTAATCAGGCCCCGTCCACCCGTTTGTCCATCGTCATTTCCATTCTATTAACTATCAGTGCTAATCACGCCCCGTCCACCCGTTTGTCCATTGTCATTTCCATTCTATTAACTATCAGTGCTAATCAGGCCCCGTCCACCCATTTGTCCATTGTCATTTCCATTCTATTAACTATCAGTGCTAATCAGGCCCCGTCCACCCGTTTGTCCATCGTCATTTCCATTCTATTAACTATCAGTGCTAATCACGCCCCGTCCACCCGTTTGTCCATTGTCATTTCCATTCTATTAACTATCAGTGCTAATCAGGCCCCGTCCACCCGTTTGTCCATCGTCATTTCCATTCTATTAACTATCAGTGCTAATCTCGCCCCGTCCACCCATTTGTCCCTCGTCATTTCCATTCTATTAACTATCAGTGCTAATCAGGCCCCGTCCACCCGTTTGTCCATTGTCATTTCCATTCTATTAACTATCAGTGCTAATCAGGCCCCGTCCACCCGTTTGTCCATTGTCATTTCCATTCTATTAACTATCAGTGCTAATCAGGCCCCGTCCACCCGTTTGTCCATTGTCATTTCCATTCTATTAACTATCAGTGCTAATCAGGCCCCGTCCACCCATTTGTCCATTGTCATTTCCATTCTATTAACTATCAGTGCTAATCAGGCCCCGTCCACCCGTTTTTCCATTGTCATTTCCATTCTATTAACTATCAGTGCTAATCTCGCCCCGTCCACCCGTTTTTCCATTGTCATTTCCATTCTATTAACTATCAGTGCTAATCAGGCCCCGTCCACCCGTTTGTCCATTGTCATTTCCATTCTATTAACTATCAGTGCTAATCAGGCCCCGTCCACCCGTTTTTCCATTGTCATTTCCATTCTATTAACTATCAGTGCTAATCAGGCCCCGTCCACCCGTTTTTCCATTGTCATTTCCATTCTATTAACTATCAGTGCTAATCAGGCCCCGTCCACCCGTTTGTCCATTGTCATTTCCATTCTATTATCTATCAGTGCTAATCAGGCCCCGTCCACCCGTTTGTCCATTGTCATTTCCATTCTATTAACTATCAGTGCTAATCAGGCCCCGTCCACCCGTTTGCCCATTACCAATCAGTGATAAGTTAAGTGTTGACTTCCATATGTCCATTGCTCATCACTTATCAGCCCCAATTATCTGTTGGCTTCCATTGTGAAGTTTCCACCTTTGTTATCATATTATTTTTGTTGTTCTTACAGGCATATATAAACGTTCTCTGCCTCATAGAATTTATTGACCTGATAAAGGAGTATGTGTATACTCTACAACGTTGTGTTCCTCATAATAAAGATTCTCTTCCTTAAGTGTATCACTTCGAAATACCTTTCAAAGACAAGACTGACATTCCATCAAACATGCTCAAAGAACTCATTTCATTATATGTCATTCTCCACATTAAAATGATATGGCTATGAAGCCTAGAACTAGAAGCAGTCTATTCCGAAACCTACTGCTAGCCTGAACCTGCTTTTGGGAGATAAAATTTAGTCTTAATGTATGGACATTAAATCAACAAACTTACTTAATCAAGTTATGTACATGAGAAAAACATATTTTTTTCTGAAATTGGGTTTAGTGGCCAAGTAGAAAATTGCATAGCCACAACATTTTTGGTATGAATGAAAGTTTCAAGTGAGATAGTCTTACAGACCCTGATACAAATATATATCAAATACAGCCCATGCAAGTCTATAATGTTTGGCAAGTCTAGATCACTGCAGTATCAGGAATGAAGAGAGTCACTGGGCTCCTTTTTATTATATTTTTATTAAGATAACTGAACAACTGGTTTTTTTTATGTAAGATGTGTTCATTTCAGAGACTAGATGTTAGTCTACAAGTGAGACAACATGGTGAATTGTACCAATACAAAATTAAACAAAGTGAAGAACATTTTGTATTAACATACTGCAGCCTATGATTTCATTCACTGGTTCACATAGCCTAAAATTATAGTCTAGGAATCATTTTAATTTTGTGTAGTAAACTCAGTACACAAATTAATAATACAATCTACAGAAAATGAAACCAAGCTATTGGCACAGACTTGTATTGCATGGATGCACTGCAATGTAATATAACATTATCTGTGGTTTCTGTTACATTATTGAAAATTGGTAAGGACAGACAAAAATAGTGCTGTCATTATGCCAACTGCATACATGTATCTTCGTTCACATGAAACAAATGTTTAGTTTAATAACTGTCACACCAAATGAAAACGTAAAATAATTTCATCCACAGCAATAGTTGACAGGGGCACACACTTGACTACTTATCAGTTATTATCTACACAGTTGGAAAAGAGTTACTTCCCTTCTAGTGCTTCAGCTGAGCCAAAAAATTTAACCCAATTTCAGTAAGTGGCTAGACATTATCCATTCTTGACACGATTTAGTTTGTTAACTTTGCAGTATGAGGAAACAGCAAGTCGGACTAAACATCGTGCCAGCTGTAAACATGGTAAATCATCAGTATGGCAGGTACTTGGCCATCCTACCTATGAAAAAGATGGTGTACGTACCCAGAGCTCCAGATAAGCTTTTGGTGTTGTGGGTATTTTACCGATGCATTTTAAAATCATTGGGTATCAGTAATTCTATCTGCGTATTCAAATTTCTGTTACCCACTAGTTTTTACACATGTGGGTATTTAAGTTAAATATTTAAAAACACTATTCATCTAGTCCCTGCAAACTGGTTTCGTGTGGGTTCGAGAGCTTTATAGGACTCAAAAATACCACGATACTCCCACACGAAAGTGTTATGGCAAATGATCAGGATGTAACTGTCATCGTGGAGTTTGGCAAGGTTGACGGAATGCCCGTTTATAATTTCAAAATAAGTTGCTGATTTGCTAATCGGAAACGCAGGGTTACTTCACAATAATTTGATGATACGCACAAATTTTATTTTTGTAGCGTATCTGTAATGTTCGTTATATTTTACTGCGTATTTCTGCATTTCTGATGCGTATTTCACGCAGATACGCAGCTTATCTGGAGCTCTGCGTACCACAAATAAGAGCACAAGTATCATGATACATATCTCATCACACACTAGTCCCAGCCCTACGTGGCACTACAGTCAAACAAAATTGTAAAATTAAAGCACCTGTGTGTTCATGATTATAACTATGCGTTAACTATGCATTAAGTGTTATCTTATTACCAGGCTTGTGATGTGGACAAAATTATTTGGGATAACCATGTTTTGAGGATATAAAACATGACAAATGAACTGGTAAAACCATAGATTAGGTGACAGGAAAGTGTCACACATATCCCTTAGATTGCTTTTACTTTTTTTAGTGACATTTACCTGTCACTCAATCCGTCGGTTTTGATTTCATCATGTTTCGAGCCCTTGGTGGAAATAGGTGTGCATGGTCGCAACAGTTTGGCCAATTCAAAGCGGAAAATCACCCCATTGACAACGCATGTGTACAGAACCACGGAGGTCAAGCTCCATACGAATGAACATATTTGAGTCACGTATTCTTGTTTATCTAGACATGCTCTAAGTCACGTGCCCACATATGTCACATACACATCACCTTCAGTTCTAACATTTAGTTGAAAAAACTATGATACTAATGCATCTATCACTAATATCACACAATGCACACTATTTTGTTTCTAACATAGCACATGACACGGGCATTGAAAATTTCGAAAAGAAACAAAACAGTATCAAACTCGTCAATGATTGAATGGAATGAGATGACTATGCAGATCTGGACTCGGCAAATGAGATCAAGAGGTTTGCTTGCACGCTAAATATGTCTTACCTCTTCCAAAAATTTGGTGACATCATACACTTGGTTGTGAATGACAAGCCAAGTCGACTTTGAGTCCTTGTGTTGTTTTATTTCGGACAGTCGGTACGTTTTAAGTTTCTCCGCCATGATTCTTGACCTAGTGCAACTGGAGGAAGTTGAGTCCACAAAATGGCGGCTGTGGTGGTTTCTGGGTAGATAAAATTGAATGCTTCAGTTTGTGTCTGTGTGTGAAGATTGACTCGTGTTATACGTGAGGATTATTTTTAACAAGAATCATACCGCGTGGTAAATTTTCACTCGCTCACATGAAATGACTAATTATCCAATCACATACGTATATGCGCACCTGCCCACAAACACAACCAATCAAATTACTGCTGCCGTTTAGAGGTCAAGGTGACCTATTGCACGTTGTAAACACGCACCCACAATCTACTTCGGGAACTTTTCAATTGTCTTGTAACAACAGGTAAGACTTATTCTTTAATTTCTTGCCATCGTACATGGTGTATATTGGTCTTTCGTCTATTTCAAGTGGATGGGAAACGAAACAAAATCTTGTCAATCCAGTATTTGTACCGTTCTGTCTCTGTGTCCATCCAGGCGCGAACTGTTGTTATACCACAATCAGGCTGTCTGATCAATATTCATCAAATGTCAACAAGTCCACGTGTCCATGTGTTCTTAATCTGTATATTTACATAACGATGTGTGTGTTGTGATATGAGTTAATCAGCTGTCTCAAGCTTTGATGAGCTTCTGGCAGCAGGTAATTAACAGTTATATAAAAAAAGGAAAGGTCGTTGACTTCCCGTGCGTCACCGAGTCTGACGTAGGGTGGTGAAGGTTTTTTTTGTGTGTGGTTTCTTGTGTAGAACTGGTAATTACATCCGATCCAGTAAAAAAAAATTTTTTTTTATTGAATATATAGAAATGGATAGTTATTTAGTTTGTTTTAGAATGTTGACATATGCAGCTAAGTTACATCATCATTTGGATTTACAACACAAGGCGTGTACCCATGGTCTTAGAACAACTTGTTGAAAGGTCCCACCCAAATTGAAATAGTTTTTGAGGAGGGCCATGAATGAATGTTTATTTGTTTATGCATTGTAAAACTCTGTGATTTTGTAAGGTTGAGAACATTCCATTTTAATGAGATACTAGTATCCTTTATTTAAGAAATTACAACAACGAGTCATTTACTTCTTATATGACATATCAACATTGTGTACAGCCTCTTTGAGGATGACGATAAAATGCACAAGGTTTAAAAATATTTACCCGTATTTTAATAATGATGATTCCCTGAATAGAATCTAACCTCTGGAATGTCGGACAAGTCCATTTTATGCACAGGTGGGTATTTCCCGCATATTCTCCCAATCCTCATGTCGACTACCTAACTTTACCTTTTCCCCGAGTACTGATTGTCATATCTCTCCCGTTGTGTTTATCTGCGCTGTCCAGCTACATCTATGGGAAAAAAGTCACTTGACACTCCCCTCTCAAAAATAATGTCCAATATATGACGTCATTAAGTTGCAAGCGCATGTTTGAATCTTTAGAAATGACGTCATGATAGAACAATGTTTTATTATGAAATAAACCACACTTCATTCTTCATTGTTCTTTGCGATTTATCGCGTAGCTATCGTATATATTGGATTTAATGTTGCGTTCAAGATTATTGCACTTATATAATGACATGAATGCCGTGTGTGTGTGAGATTGCTTGAGCTAGTCCGGACTAATTCCGGTTTATAGTGTTAGTCCATGAAGATACCATGCCTCAGTTTAACATGGATGCCTGACTGAGCTTTCCGGACTTATATAATTCCCTTATGATGAGCGCCAGGCAGGGTAGCAACAAGTATCGTCATTTATCATATTTATAACCGCCAGGGATCGAACCCTAGACCTGCTCTTTCGGGCAGACACTCTACAACTACTAGACCATAGGGGCTGTTGAGTCAAGTGGACAACAAACCCGCCCAAATTAAGCTGTATCTTTGCATTAGTCCCAGTAGATGTTAGTCTTATCATGAATTTTTGAGCATCAGCTGATCTCACTTGTCCTGAACCAAATTTCAACCGACTAATGGCTAAGGTCAGAGACTGACATAGGAGTAAATGTTTTGGGTCTAAGATGGCGATATGTCATGTTTTACTTGATTTCCCAATTTTTAACTAATGTCATATCACAGCTTATCCTGAGAAACCATAAGCCTATCAATAATGGGGATTTCGATGTCAGATTGAAGAAAAGATTTATTATTATTTTGTGTAGATTAAGAGTGCTGATTGGAACGCTAAACCTATAGTGGTCTTTAATTAATCCGATATTGCTGAAAGATTAATTTTGCAAATACATGTTTAGTGAGGATAAAGTACTTATTTCAATAATTTGAAAGAAATTGCGTAAGCATAGATAAGTGTGAATGAGGTGGGAGTGTCGTTAGTTACCCTGACTTCTATATAAGTGCCCTACTTGTCCACGAGTACCACCATGCAGCCCCTTTCTTGTACGTAGGGACTTAAAAGGATCTCTACCGAAATGTCGCCTTTACAGTATTAAAGAAGTTGTTATCCATAAATTGTGTCTACTTTGTCATCCGCCGACTTCTAAGTAATGCCAACAAACAAAACAATTCACAAGTTTTTTGTTAGACAAAATTCTTAATTCCTCATGTGTAGGAGTTTACCATCTGACAATATCAATTTTGCAGTGTTCTAGTTAATAAACAACCTCTCTTATCTTAATTCCTTTACCCTGAAAAGAACAGATCCCTGTTATCAAGATCAAAGGTAAATGAGACGAAATACATGAAAGATTGTGCTACTTGATGGAGTTCAAACACTTTCCTTTTGTTGTGTTTTTTATTCCACCACTTTCAATGGTGCTGTGGTTAATGTGGTGTCTTTTTGGAAATCTCTTTGATGTCACCATGGTCAAATATCTTCATAGTTTCTTTTATCTGACATCAAACTTTTTTTCCACAATTTTGATGAAAGCAATTAGTGTTGTTTATGCCTTCTTAATCATTGTTAATATTAGAAGTATAGATATATCTTTTACTTGAAACAATAATATAATAAATTAATTTAGAGTTTTTGTCATTGATGGCCTATAGTATCTGGGTTTTTTTTAATTTCAAAAGGTACACTATTATTGAGATAGCTGTCTAGTTGTGTCCAAAATGATTTACATAGAAGTTCAAACATGTCTATTATTAGTGGCATTCTGTATAAACGTGCATCAAAGATTTTAGTTCCTTCCCAAGGTGGTTCTTAACTTTGTTAAAGTAGTATATTAAATACATGGCACCCTTACATGACAAACAGGGGCGGTCGCGTAGCCTAGTGGTTAAAGTGTTCGCTCATCACGCCGAAGACCCGGTTTGATTCCCGACATGGGTACAATGTGTGAAGCCCATTTCTGGTGTCTCCCACCATGATATTGCTGGAATATTGCTAAAAGTGGCATAAAACCATACTCACTCACTCACTACACCACAAATATATTTTATAATCTGTTGATATTAATCTGAGCACATGCTGCTCCTATTGATATCATCTGTTACGAAAGTAATGACCAGTGCAGTTATAAATTTGTGCTTTGAGTTTCTTTGAGAGTAACAATTTTGCGGGTCCATTTTGTTTATGCGTTTGTATTAAATTGCTGAATATGCAGTTGATACTTATCTCTGAGACGTAGCTCCAGCTTGTGTTCTTGTTTGTGACCACCTACTTGTATCTCAACCCTTGTCACAGGGTGCGGACAGGTGGGTAAATACACTGTTTGGAATAAACTGAAATACATGATAACCTAATTACATTTTGTATTATTCATAAAACAACAAAATATCAACATGATGAAGCAGCTGTTACAAATTGACATAGGCCATATTAATTGAACTTGTAATATAAATGAAAATAAAGTAACATCACAAGATTGAAATGATGTATTTCAGTGTAGAGCTAGATGTATCTAAAATTATTATGATATGATATGCACAACAGATGTCCATTTCATTGATATTGACAATCACTTTTCACAGTGGAGCCCCAGTGGGTATTCCACCTGTTCAATCATATACGCGTCAATGGGGGTAAATATGTAAATTCAAAACACATATTCATGTGAACAGTATATATGATTTACGGAGCTGTAATTCTGTTTAGTATTAAAACGGACAACTTGTTTGTGTTTGTAGGTAAGTGCAATAGAATATTTTTATATATTTGCTTGGCAATACAGAGGATATGGAGCGTGTCACATGCAATATATCATTGTTTTTTTGCCCTGGTATCTGGTAGTACATCGACAGTATCAACATACAGTTGACGTATATTGCAGGGAGTGATCTAGACCTGCTCAGATCCACTTGGGTCACATATCACTGTAAATTCCCAATTTATGTATTGTGGTTAGTTGTCATGATATATACACACTGATATACTGATGTACACTGATATTATTTTCAGCAGCTTCAATTATTTAGAATTTCACGACAAACATTACATTTAGCATGTTTATATATCGATTTTTAGTTTTGGTTTTTAACTATTTCATTTTTGTTTCAAATTAGACTAAAAATGTAAATAACCTAGATGTATTTGCTGGTTTCTTGTTACCATGGTTACTCTGTTAAAGGACACATTATTAGGTTTTGCTTGCCCTTTTCTTGGGAAGGTCAAAACAAAGAATTAAAGAAAGTTATTATGAGATAAGTTAAGTAACATGTCTTGTTTTATTAGCTCACCTGAACTTCCAGATCCACCATGTCTTAGAAGCTGAAACTTGATGACCCCATACATAGTGTCTCTGAAAGTTGCTCTGATTTTAAACATCGCCATCAGCCATTAATGTAAGGCCACCCTTCCAATTGGGCAAGTATCATTATGAAATTTGGTATGCAGTATATATGTGGTATGCATAATAACATGTGATACCTTTGTTGGAAGATTTTGATATTTGATCCTACAACTGTCTTTGACCTTCACATACCCCCATTGTCTCTAGATTGTTTGCATTGTACTGTCCTTTTGCCATTACCCTCTCACTTCTCTGGCATTCTGAATGTGAATATTGATGCTGTTTGTATTGTTTGTTGGTATTGTTTTGTTTGTTTTGGGTTGTTGAACAGCGCACTCAGCAATATTCCAGCTATATGACGGCGGTCTGTAAATAATCAAGTCTGGACTAGACAATCGAGTGATTGACATCATAAGCATTTATCTATGCAATTGGGATCGATGACATGCATCAACCAAGTCAGCGAGCCTGACCACCCGATCCTGTTAGTCACCTCTTACAACAAGCATAGTCACCTCTTACGACAAGCATAGTCACCTCTTACGACAAGCATAGTCACCTCTTACGACAAGCATAGTCACCTCTTACGACATGCATAGTCACCTCTTACGACATGCATAGTCACCTCTTACGACAAACATAGTCACCTCTTACGACAAGCATAGTAACCTCTGTTTTGTGTCGAAACAACTGTTTCTTATTTTTGTTTACCCTCTTATTGTGACCTTTTAACACAAATATTCAAGAAAAACTCATGTGCATTGCATAGCCTTCTTGCTGTCGTTTCTGTTCTCAAACTTATCAAATATATAATATTTGATGAGCAAATAAGAATAAATTTACTCGACTTTTATTGTATTTTCAATTTGGGCTCCTGTCGGTCTAAACTGCAAACCAAACATTATATGTAGTGTCATCTAAGATTGTGTTAGAATTGACTTAATCTTCATCATATTCATGCCTGTATTGTCCATCTAGTGAGTATGGTTTTACGCCGATTTTAGCAATATTCCAGCAATATCACGGTGGTGGACACCAGAAATGGGCTTCACACATTGTACCCATGTCAGGAATCCAACCAGGGTCTTCGGCGTGACGAGTGAACGCTTTAACCACTAGGCTACCCGACCGCCCCCATCTAGTTAGAGCCATATTCACCTAGCCTTGCTCCAAGGCTGTACTGAAAGATACATCCATGGATGTGTCGTAATTCTATCCTCCTAATAGGCAAGTCTAGATATGCAGATAGGGACAACTTGTTCTTATTATTACATATCTAGAAATTGTGATTTAAGCTAATAATTATTGCCAAAGTAGACTTGTGCAAGTCTAATAGTCACCAAATAACATCACCATTTAATCTTTTGGGAAACTGATTTATTTGGTCAGTAAGCATGAAGATGTGACGGTGCCGATGGCCTGGTGAGTTTTGCACCACTGTTATGTAAGTCAGTGAGTACATGTCATTCTGTGGAATTGCTTGCCTTGGCTTGAACTGATTATCTTGAGGCCACCTTGACATAGCTGGAATATTGCTGACTTTGGTGGAAAGTGAGTTACTTCACTCATTGTACAATTGGGAACAGAGATAGTCAGTTGCAAAGGCTACAGAGCCTGTGATGCGTAGAGGCCTTGATGAGGTGGGACCGGTGAAGAAAGCAATCAGTTGCGCACAGCTCCTTGACTGCCTCTCCAAGTCACGGTAAGGCTTCCGCTCACACTTACTTACTTACTTATATTGGAGATTTAACGTGCGCTTTCCGACTGCAAGCGTATGTCGCACACGGGCCCGGCCAGGCCATTTAATGTGTTTCCGAAAAGGGGAAGAGGGAGTTTTTGCAACCCAGGAGGGGGGCTTTAGGGGTTGCTTATACAGTAATTTTGAAATTTTGTGATTTGGAATGAATGCCAAGAGTGGGTGGAGGACGAACTAAGGGAGCTGTGTGTGTTGGGTGGTTGCTAGATTAGGTAGTTTTGGTTTTATTATTTTATTTGGGGTTTAAATGCGACCAATTAGTCCTGTTTTAATTAGGTATCTGCCTAAGGCTTTGAATTTTTCTAATTTATTTTGTGGATTTAGGATTGATTCTAGTTTAAGTCCTGTTTTAAGATTTAGGGTGGTCTGTAGTGTTGTTCGGTGTGTTTGGTAGTGTGTGCAGTGAATGAGTACGTGTTCTGGTGTTTCTTGTTGTTTGCAATGTGGGCAGTTTCCTGTTGTATGTAGATTAGCTATTTTACGGTGATTATTTAGTTTGGTGTGGCCTGTTTGTAGTTTAGTAATTATTCTGTCGATTTTTTTGGATGGGTGTAGTATTTTTGGTTTAGTTAGTTTTTTTTCGAGTACTTTCCTGATTTGGCTATTTGAGTTTTGGTACATATTTTGCCATTTTTTGTTGATTTTTTTTTAGTGACACTTTTGATTTCTGATTTTGAGCTGGGTAAGTTTAAGCTTATTTCTGGGAGTTTAAGGGATAATTTTGCTGCTTATATAGTTGGAAGAAACATGCTATAATGTAACTATATATAACTTTTGGAGGGGGGTTATGGACGGAAGCCTTCTCTAAATCACGTGCCCCAGCTTCTGATAACTATAACTGACCAATCCCCTGTGACATGTGAAAATGTATCACCATGGCACTATATATACTGTAAAACGTGAAATTAACGCGAGCATGAATTAAATGCGAAAAATGCGAATGGTCTTGGCTCACATTATTAAACGTTGCATTCATATCAACAATAAGACATTTTGGATAGCAGAAATACCAACTTAGACATGTTAGACATACGCTGAAAAGAAACAGCTATGTTTTCCACATCACTGTTTATTGAGCAGCACTTGTAAGAAGTATATAAACAATGTCATTCAAACACTAATTACAGCCTGTGAATTGTCACTGGGTTCAAGATAAGAGTTCTACTCACTTATGTCATCACTGATCACACCTGCAAGTCCGTACAGACGCCACCCACGCAACACAGGGTCATTGTTCTTTGCGACTGCGTCAAAGGCCAACACGAGCCAGCGCTCATGCATTGTTTAAGCGAAAGTACACTACTCAGCGCTAATAAGCGGTGCTATTTGGTGAGTGATTGGATTAATGTAAGGTTAGATTAAGGTGAGGATTCTCCTGTAAACCTGACAGAGGACAATTTCTTTAGATAACATATCCACTGATGCTTGAGAGGAGGGGGTGTCGCATTCATATTGAGTCACATTTTTGGCAAAGGGTCAGCGTTTGCATTCTCTTGGAGACTCAATAATTTCACGATTTACAGTATATATATACATATATATACTCTTGAAACTGCATGGTTGAGAAATATTTAACAACCTGTTCTAAAGTCTACAGTCAAAATCTGTATTGTGATAAAACGGATTGTATTTCGCAAAGTGCATCAAATCAGGTGAGCATGAAAACATTTGGAAAATATCTGTTGACACCCAGTTGACGGTACACATTTTTATGCAAATTCTGCACTTGACTGAAATCTATCCGGCAGTTTACGAACCGGATATCGATTTCGTTACCTGATTTGGATCGGACTGTGCATTGACTCATAAGTCCAGCCAAAATATAACTCCATAATTCCAGCCTAGGTTGCCAAGGGTGGAAACTGGACTTTTAAAGCTCCCTAGCCTTAGGACGAAGTGTGCAGGTGGCAGCAGGGGGTACTCAGCGAGGTAAGCCCCTAATTTGTGTAGCTGAAATACTGCCAACACTGGCTTCATACTGTAACTCACGCATATCTCTGATCCAGCTAACATGGGCATTGTGTAGGTACCCAGGATTGGGCGCCTAGCTGTCATTGTACTATCATGATACACTGTATTTGAATTAATAAGCGCCTGCTCTAATAAGCGTCCATGGCGATATTTGCTATATATTTTGGGTAGTGAACAATCCCAATTAGCACCCTTCCGATCGATCAATGTACACACGATTTATTTATTTGTGTATAATACGCACTGGTGTGTTATATGCACCCTTAATTACGGAAATTAAATTCTGGAAATACATCTGTCGTGTATAATACGCACAGACTTTTTTTGTGTGTCGTTTCAAGCAGTAAGCATAAACCATGAAATTTACGATCTGTCAACTCTTTCACCAAAATTATATTCTAATAAGAGCCCCCTATTTCTAATTTTGAGAGCACCCTGGGCGCGTATTATGTCAAATACGGTAACATTTATACTAAGTTTTCATATAATAATCAGATCCACAGCAAGTGCTTTTATAAGTTATCATGGTGTAACATTTGTACAAAATTTAATATGATTATAGAACAGCAAGTAATACATATTAGGATCCAGGAAAAATGCAGATACAAAATAATAGTAGTTTCAGTTACAGCGTTTCAGATAGATGCTAGCCTAAGGTAACAGGAACCCATCTCCCAGACATACTATTCAATAAGACAAAAGTTATGTCTACAGATTTTTATAGATTGCTGTCATCACCTATATTAGAATAACATTCAGCAATTACTTCAATTTAGACTCATTAAGGATTAGCCCCCATACAAGCTCGTCTATAGTGATACCATAATCTCTTTCCAAGCACCCAGTAAATATGTCAACAAGATTAGTGCCAGTCAAATATGATTAAGTATTCCCCTCTGTCTAGTCATTCATAAACCATGGGCACACACCATTTTGTATCAACCAATCAGTTTTGTTAAATACATACAGAAGCAAAATGTTAAGCAGAAGGGGTTTGTCGCTCTAACAAAGCAGACCTCTCTCTCACAGCCCAGAGGGTTGTACCGACTCTCTGTGGCACCCTCAGCTATATTTTTTAGATATTGTAAATTGTTCATTGTTCTTGTAAATAAAATTGTAATTAGTCTCCTGTGACTCCGGCTCTTTGCTGACTAATTCCCCCAAGAAAACCAGCACGCCATTTGGACGGTTTTGTACATCAGAACAGAACCATAATAGTACCCTGATGGTGAGGAATTCTGTCCATGCTTTGAGTCACCTCTGGTAAAACAATTTGTTTGATACTTACAAGCCATCGCAATGTGGCATGAATACTTGGTTTAGCATGTTAGACTATAGGAGTCAAGAGCTTCAGATAACTTTTTGAGCAATTGAGTTTTTACTCTAGGGTTTCTATTTTAATTGGGTTAATACATTTTTCATTGAGTAACCAATATTTTTTCACTCATCAATACATCACTCTATTGTTTTTTCCCCAAATAAGTATACATTTTAAGATTTAAAAAAATGAAATAATGATTTAGATGTATATAACTGTTTTAAATATATATAGGCTTGACTTGGAAAGTAAATCAGCTCGTAATTGTGTTTCGGAAATTAGCACCTTTGTACACATGCTGGAAAAGCTTCATTGGATAATTACGCAAGCTGTTTTTATACATTTGAGTTTTTCATTTAATGCATGCGTTTCTGTATGCAAGTTAATTGAAAGTAATTGGGTTTTGAATATTTTGCGGGGGTATTTTACGCAAATACTCTGCTGTCTGTAGCTGGTGGGGGGGGGGGGGGGGGGGGGGGGGGAGGTTTTTGATGCGCTAATGTACTGAAAATAATGACCCTCCCTTAATGCTTGTCATATTTTCGAATGACCTTCCCCATGTCCTTGTTCATTTTTTTCATGACTTTCACTGAGAACACAAAATGTAAAAGCACTTTATGTTTTATTATAATATGTCTCTTTTGACATGACCCTCCCCAAATATATGTATTATTTTTTATGACCCTCATCTAGAAATTTACATGTTTTGGTGAGCCTGCCCTATATAGTAGGCCTGCAGAAGGGCAGAAGTTAGGCGATTCATATGCAGAGAAAGTCAAGGAATTGTCCTGGCTTCAAACATGTCGAACCGATTTGCCGACATTTTTCAGATTGTGCCTCATTCTGACCCATTTGTTATGCACTTTGTGTGAGGTGTGCATGATGTGTGCATGACATGTGCATGATGTGTGACATGGTATGTGTTTACAAATTGCCATGGAAATGGTCTTGCCACCTTATTACAGAGAGAGACATACCATGACAGATTAACCATAGCAATGCGAGAGAATCAGGTGTTCTTTGACTTGTTTGAGTATTATATAATCTTGGCCCCTGAAGGTCCAAGGTAGAATAGGTCTTCAGCAACCCATGCTTGCCGTAAAGAGCAACTTGCTGACTTGGTTGATGCAGGTTATTGTATCCCAATTGTGTAGATCGATGCTCATGATGTCAATCTCTGGATTGTCTGGTCCAGACACGATTATTGACAGACCACCTTCACGTAGCTGTATACTGCTGAGTGTGGCATTAAACAACAAACAAACAAACAAACAAACAAAACAAAGTATACTACTCACATCTCAAATCTCAGAACAGTAGTGTTGCACAGGGTGTTTAATATTGCCTTATGACTGTAAACACTGTTGTCTTTGTCACAAGCATGATAGAATGTATTTTTTGGAAATACTTTCCTTGTATCGTGTTTCTATACATGTGATGAGCTAGTGTTCATTCGGGGCAGGTCCAGAGTGGGGTCCTGGGTTTGACCACGCCCCTTTTTGCAGTTTAAAAAAATAAAAACTTGAAAATGGTACCATGACAACATGTTCAGTTGGTTTTTAATGTAAAATTAATAATGGTTACACATCGTGGTTGTGATTTGTGTCCCCACCACCACTGAAGGTACAGATGACCTTAGTGGAATCTGATCGATAATCAAAATCTATTTTGTGATAAAACAGGTCTTGCCTCGCGAAGTGCATGAAAACATTTGAGCACCGTTATTTAAAACATGAACAGATTTGGCAATTATCTGCTGACGCTCAGTTGATAGTACACATGCTTTGCTGATCATGCTGTCGACGAAAATCTGCACGTTAAAATCCATGTTGTATACATGGTATACGAACCGGATGTCTGTATTGTTGCATGTTTTTGTATGGACTATGTGACACTCATTAGTCCGGCCAAAATGTAACTCTGGAATTCCAGCCTAGTTCAGCAAGGATGGAAACTGGACTCTAACAGTCAGTTAACTCCCTTGCCCCGGGACGATGTGATGCTGCAGGTATCCTGAAGAACAGGCTCCAAGGTGCTGTACTAAGACGGTTTTAACTGATCCACCAGATTGGCTTGTCCGAGTCACTGTAGCTTGGGCTTGAAGCAAAGCATGAGGGCTTTGTTTACTGTCTGGGTAGATATTGGGCCAATTGGTGTAAAAAAACAGGCCCTTCAGAAGCTTAAAAATACAAATATTTTTTCTGGTAGTGTTTATCTGAAATGTCAAATGTGGATATTTTTTCGGCATGTCACTATAAATGTGACACTGTTATTGACGGAGCTATCAGATCAGTTATTGTATTGGCCGTAATAAGCGCTCTGAGCACCATACTTTTGACAAATGGGGACACTTATTAAAACCAAATTAAAAACAAATTTTTCTACTTCTATACTTCTGTGTTTCCCCTTTCTTCACCATGTTCACTTGTGTTTTGCCCTTCAATTTCTAGACTGCTGTTTTCCCCTTCAACACTGTTTTCCCATTCTACACTAATCTTTTCCCATTCTACACTAATGTTTTCCCTTTCTACACTTCTGTTTTCCACTTCAACACTACTATTTTCCCTTTCTACACTACTATTTTCCATTTCTACACTACTGTTTTCCCATTCTACACTACTGTTTTCCCTTTCTACACTACTGTTTTCCCATTCTACACTACTGTTTTCCCATTCTACACTACTGTTTTCCCTTTCTACACTACTGTTTTCTCTTTCTACACTACTGTTTTCCCTTTCTACACTACTGTTTTCTCTTTCTACACTACTGTTTTCTCATTCTACACTACTGTTTTCCCTTTCTACACTACTGTTTTCCCTTTCTACACTACTGTTTTCCCTTTCTACACTACTGTTTTCCCATTCTACACTACTGTTTTCCCTGTCTACACTACTGTTTTTCCTTTCTACACTACTGTTTTCCCTTTCTACACTACTGTTTTCCCATTCTACACTACTGTTTTCCCATTCTACACTACTGTTTTCCCATTCTACACTACTGTTTTCCCTTTCTACACTACTGTTTTCCCATTCTACACAACTGTTTTCCCTTTCTACACTACTGTTTTCCCTTTCTACACTACTGTTTTCCCTTTCTACACAACTGTTTTCCCTTGCTACACTACTGTTTTCCCATTCTACACTACTGTTTTCCTTTCTACACTACTGTTTTCCCTTTCTACACTACTGTGTTTGTACTCTTCAACACTGCTGTTTTCCCTTCTACACTGCTGTGTTTTTCCCTTCTAAACTACTGTGTTTTCCCCTTCTACACTGCTGGGGGGCACGGGTGGCCCAGTCGTCTAAGGCGCCGCGATTTGCTGTGCAGAGTTGCGTCCCTTAGGCACGCCAGAAACCTATGATTTTGGGTTCGAATCCCGGTTCGCCCCGATTATGTTTCTACATTTGTCAGCACCATACCCGTGCTCGTGGGTTTCACCGAAGTGGTAAACGTCCGAGACCTGCATCACTTCGGGCTTTCCTCCCACATTAAGCTGACACGCCGTGATATGACTGGAATACTGTTAAAAGCGGCGTAAAGCCCAACTCACTCACTCACTCTACACTGCTGTGTTTTCCCCTTCTACACTGCTCTGTTTTCCCCTTTGACACTGCTGTGTTTTCCCCTTCTACACTGCTGTGTGTTCCCCTTCTACACTGCTGTGTTTTCCCCTTCTACACTGCTGTGTTTTCCCCTTCTACACTGCTGTGTGTTCCCCTTCTACACTGCTGTGTGTTCCCCTTCTACACTGCTGTGTTTTCCCCTCCTACACTGCTGTGTTTTCCCCTTCTACACTGCTCTGTTTTCCCCTTCTACATGACTGGAATACTGTTAAAAGCGGCGTTAAGCCCGACTCACTCACTCACTCTACACTGCTGTGTTTTCCCCTTCTACACTGCTCTGTTTTCCCCTTTGACACTGCTGTGTTTTCCCCTTCTACACTGCTGTGTTTTCCCCTTCTACACTGCTCTGTTTTCCCCTTCTACACTGCTGTGTGTTCCCCTTCTACACTGCTGTGTGTTCCCCTTCTACACTGCTGTGTTTTCCCCTCCTACACTGCTGTGTTTTCCCCTTCTACACTGCTGTGTTTCCCCTTCTACACTGCTGTGTTTTCCCCTCCTACACTGCTGTGTTTCCCCTTCTACACTGCTGTGTTTTCCCCTTCTACACTGCTGTGTTTTCCCCTTCTACACTGCTCTGTTTTCCCCTTCTACACTGCTGTGTTTTCCCCTTCTACACTGCTGTGTTTTCCCCTTCTACACTGCTCTGTTTTCCCCTTCGACACTGCTGCAATTTACCAGTATTTTTTTCAGTTCAACTCCACTGAAGAATGGATCCCAAAACAAAGAAGGCGAAGACATGTTGGAACGTCCCAGCCTCAACGATTGCAGAGCAAACCTTCAACCCCATCAGAAACATCGTGGACAGCATGAAGCTCACCCCCAACCCAGAGAAGGAAATGATCGCCCTGTCCATAGGTAGGAATGACTGAAAATCTGTGAAAATGCCTTCTGTTATGCCTTCATACATGCTGTAGATTATACTAAGCTGGTCATTCGTAGTTGAAGACATTTAATACTATTGGGAGACTAGGCTTGGAAATTTGACTCTGTGCAAGCAGAGACCATATAATCTATTATATGGTCTCTGGTGCAAGTTTGCTTGAAGTCATTTAAACAAAAGCCTGCCTTTTTTATCAACTCAAATTGTACAGTGTACAGTGAAACTTGATCCACGTGTGCCATTCCCAGGATTGTTTGTTTAGCTATGTCATAGCGACTGATTTACGACACCCATTGTCTGAAGAACATTTGATTGCAAAGGCTCATTACCCTGGAGCCATGACATCTATATGCCTTGAAACACTTAATTGCTGTTATTTATAAGATGCTAATCCTAATTGTTAATCCCCATTTTTGTGTACATCGACCGTCTGCCATCCTGAACGAGATGTGCAAGTATGTCACTGATGAATTACTGTTTATATTTATATTTATTACTTACTAAATGTCAGGTGACCTTGGCTATATAAGCCTTGGTCCAGAGAGATTGACAAACTACCTAAATTAAAAATCTACACCAAATTAAAAATCTTAAACAAAACTGCAAACAATCAAATATCTTCACCCCTAAACTTAAAATACCCAAAATAGACACAACACTAGCTAGCCAAATAAATAAACAAACCGACCCAAACATAGCTAAAACCACCACACTAGCATACATACACGAAAATTGGCCCAATTGGTGTCACATTTACACGGACGGATCTTCAGATCCGACCTCCAAACACACAGGTTTCGGAGTCCATACCACACAACCAACTAAAACCACACAATCCTTCCGACTCCCAAACAACCAATCAATATTCACGGCAGAACTAATGGACATGGCCTCAGCCCTCCATAATCAAGAATCCAAAAACCACAAAAAAATCCTAATACTTACCGACTCCCTAAGTGGACTGCAAGCCCTCCAAAACAAAAATACCAAAAACCGACCTAAATTAATCAATCAAATACTTAAAAGCTCCAACGACCTAACTAAGGCAGGCAAACAAATAACCTTCTTGTGGATACCCGCCCACGTAGGAATATACGGTAATGAAAACGCCGATAAAGCAGCTAAACTATCCCTCAAAATCCCAGAAATAAGTTTAAACTTACCCATCTCAAAATCAGAAATTAAAAGTGTAAACAAGCAAAAAATGACCAAAAATGGCATAACCAATATCTAAACTCAAATAGCCAAATCAAAAAAGTACTCAGCAAACCACTAACCAAACCAAAAATTCTCCATCCATCAAAAAAAATCTACAGAGTAATCACTAAACTCCAAACAGGACACACCAACCTAAATAACCACCTAAAAAAAATGAAAAAACGCACTACAGGTAACTGCCCACACTGCAAACAACTAGAAACCCCAGGACACGCACTCATCCACTGCACACACTACCTAACACATCGAACCGCATTACAAACCACCCTCAATCTAAACAAGGCTCTCACTCTAGAAGCAATACTAAACCCACAAAATAAACTAGAAAACTTCAAGGCCCTAGGCGTATTCTTAATCAAAACGGAACTAATAAAACGCATCTAAAAACACAATAATCTACCAAATCAAAATCACATAAACAAACAAACATCCACCAGTTCCCTTAGTTCTCCTCCCCAACCCCATCGGCATCTATTCCAAATCTCAAAATTCCCAAATTCTATATAAGCAACCCCTAAAGCCCCCTCCTGGGTTGCACCACCCCTTCCTTTTCCCCCTCTCGGAAACACATTAAATGGCCTGGCGGGCCCGTGTGCGAAATACGCATCAGTCGGGAAGCGCACGTTGAATCTCCAAAGTAAGTAAGTAAGTGAGATTGAAAAAGATTATAGAAAGGTCTTACCCTTAGCCTAGCTAGGGTTAGGCTGGGTGCTCCGGGGCACCTAGACAACAACCACTACCACTATGTGCTGACCTGGCACATAGTGTCTTTTGTATGTATGTATCTACCTGTGTAAAGTAAAATTGTATATACCGCAAGCCATCGTCTCCAAGTTGTCACTTCCTAAAGGACCCATACGTCGGCCCCTTGCATATACGAGTATGCAAATTGTTCATTAATCAACTACCTCAAAATCATGGTAGAAAATGTGTTCTAATATTGCGAACTGGATGTTTGGAGGCACATAGTCACACACGCAATTTACAGATCTTTACCATTATAATACTCGGGGTCAGAAAAGAAATATAATTTCAGAAACATAATATTTCAAGTGGATCTTGTAAACTTTGTAAAAGTATTGTCGATCACGTAATAAGGTAAAAGTACTTCTTTTAAAAATCCAGTTAGACCCATCAGATGAAGATTGCACTGTGAACTTCAACCAATATTTTCTGATGTATAAGACTAATTGTAATATTGAACAAGTCTCAAGTGTCTTGAATGTTCTTCTATACAGTTCAACATTTGCTAAAGAGTGAGTGAGTGAGTGAGTATGGTTTTACGTTGCTTTTAGCAATATTCCAGCAATATCATGGAGGGGGGCACCAGAAATGGGCTTCACACATTGTACCCATGTGGGGATTCGAACCCGGGTCTTCGGCGTGATGAGCGAGTATCAATTGTTATCGCAATAGTTTCTTTCAATATAAATAGTTATCGCAACAGTGATTTCCAGACCATTAGTCACCCCCAGATGCATACTGACTGAATACAGTGTGTGATGAAGCAACTAGAATTGCTATTTATCACCACGAAATACTCATCCAAGAAAACTTGCCACTCTGGTAATATGCGACCCATGAAGATCCGGGGTAGAATAGGTCTTCAGCAACCCATACTTGCCGTAAAAGGTGACTATGCTTGTCGTAAGAGGCGACTAACGGGATCGGGTGGTCAGGCTCACTGACTTGGTTCATACATGTCATCGATCCACGCATTTGGGATCGATGCTCATGCTGTCAATCACTGGATTGTCTGTTCCAGACTATATAGTCATATAGCTGGAATATTGCTGAGTGCGGCGTTAAACAACAAACAAACAAGAACAAGACCTGGTAATATGCAGTTTTCTATGTGATGGAAACATTCCTTTACATTCTACTTGTGATTTGAAATTTGTTATTTCGTGGCACAGAGTTAATTTCTAATGCTGTGTAACCATGGTAACCAGTTGACTCACTATATTAAATGTTTTTTGTTTGTTCAAATTATGTTTTTTCCAGTTAAAAGGAAATTAGTAGTTGAACTGCTTGATTGGAATTTTTAGAAGTTGGTAGGTAACAGTAGGGACAAGATAAGTAGTACTACTAGTAGGTTTGTTAAGTACTGCCTCAGCTGGGAGTATACTTATCTATAACTGAAAATTGATAATTAAAATTAAAATTTATACAAAAGTATCACAATACACTCATGTGGGATGTCTAGTGAAGGTGAGCTTCTGTACCTCTGGTTCTGTTCTTTGTCAAGAACTGCCTGGTGAGACATACTCACAACAATTAATTCAGTTACTCTTGAGACAGGTAGTGTTGTTCATGCTGTAGGCAATATTTCCAGCCCTGGCAGCCTGTTAGCCTAGCTCGTTGGCCTACATATATTTGGCATGATGAAAGACAGGACAAATATTGCAGGGGTGACAGATTAACCTGCCCTCACAGTGGGCTACTTAGCCCCGCCACAAAGAGTGTGTGTGTGTGTGTGTGTGTGTGGGGGGGGGGGGGGGGGCTGTGTTTGAGTATCTGTGTTTGAGTATCTGCTAGTCTGCTAGTGTCTAATGTTGCCTGAGTTTGTGTGACTGCTTTAGTCTGGACGTTTACTACAATATCTGAAATAGTCATACGTAACTGGATATTACATTTAAAGACAATCGGTGCATGAATAAAAAATCTGTCTATTTAGCTGTCACTATATTTCATCAACAACCAGACCTGTGCGTCACGGGTGGAACGAGCATTCATTGTAACAGCCATCTGCATAATGCTACCCCTGCGTCACAGGGCCATATGACACAGTCGAACCAATCAACTCAACTTGGGGAGGGGGTTGGGGGCATAGAAACAGGATCCCTCCGCGTCCATCTGTCAAAGCGACTGATTTATGACAACCATTGTCTGAATGAACATTTAATTCCAAAGGCTAATAACCCTGGAGCCATGCCATCTATATGCCTTGAAACACTTAATTGCTGTTATTTATAAGATGCTAATCCTATTTGTTAATCCCATCATGAACGAGATGTGCAAGTATGTCACTGAAGAATTACTGTTGTTTATATTTTTGACTTACTAAATGTTAGATGACCTTGGCTATATAAGCCTTGGTCCAGAGATGAACATGACTGTCACTAAACTACAAACAGGCCACACCAAACTAAATAACCACCTTAAAATAAGTAAATTACACGCACCAGGAACCTGCCCACATTACAAACAAGAAACACCAGAACATGTACTCATTCACTGCACACACTACCAAACACACCGAACAACACTACAGACCACCCTAAATCTTAATACTGCACTTACTCTAGAATCAATCCTAAATCCACAAAATAAATTAGAAAAATTCAAAGCCTTAGGCATATACTTAATTAAAACAGGACTAATTAGTCGCATTTAAACTCCAAATAAACTAATAAAACCAAAATCACATAAACTAACACACCACCCACCACACACAGCTCCCTTAGTTCGCCCCCTACCCACTCTTGGCATTCATTCCAAATCTCAAAATCTCAAAATTACTATATAAGCAACCCTTAAACCCCCCTCCTGGGTTGCACCACCACTTCCTTTTCCCCCTCTCGGAAACACATTAAATGGCCTGGCGGGCCCGTGTGCGACATGCACAGTCGGAAAGCGCACGTAAAATCACCAATATAAGTAAGATGAACATGAGAGCGAGAAAGAGAGAGAAGAAAGGTCTTACCCTTAGCCTAGCTAGAGTTAGGCTGGGTGCTCCGGGGCACCAAGACAACAACCACTACCACTATGTGCTGACCTGGCACATAGGGGCTTTTGTATGTATATATCAACCTGTATACAGTAATACTGGGAGCCACCCGATGTTGCCAGTGTTTGTGTGACTGCTAGTGTCTGATGTTGCCTGTGTTTGTGTGACTGCTAGTGTCTGATGTTGCCTGTGTTTGTGTGACTGCTAGTGTCTGATGTTGCCTGTGTTTGTGTGACTGCTAGTGTCTGATGTTGCCTGTGTTTGTGTGACTGCTAGTGTCTGATGTTGCCAGTGTTTGTGTGACTGCTAGTGTCTGATGTTGCCTGTGTTTGTGTGACTGCTAATGTCTGATGTTGCCTGTGTTTGTGTGACTGCTAGTGTCTGATGTTGCCTGTGTTTGTGTGACTGCTAATGTCTGATGTTGCCAGTGTTTGTGTGACTGCTAGTGTCTGATGTTGCCTGTGTTTGTGTGACTGCTAATGTCTGATGTTGCCAGTGTTTGTGTGACTGCTAATGTCTGATGTTGCCTGTGTTTGTGTGACTGCTAATGTCTGATGTTGCCAGTGTTTGTGTGACTGCTAATGTCTGATGTTGCCTGTGTTTGTGTGACTGCTAGTGTCTGATGTTGCCTGTGTTTGTGTGACTGCTAATGTCTGATGTTGCCTGTGTTTGTGTGACTGCTAATGTCTGATGTTGCCTGTGTTTGTGTGACTGCTAATGTCTGATGTTGCCTGTGTTTGTGTGACTGCTAATGTCTGATGTTGCCTGTGTTTGTGTGACTGCTAATGTCTGATGTTGCCAGTGTTTGTGTGACTGCTAATGTCTGATGTTGCCAGTGTTTGTGTGACTTCTAATGTCTGATGTTGCCTGTGTTTGTGTGACTTCTAATGTCTGATGTTGCCTGTGTTTGTGTGACTGCTAATGTCTGATGTTGCCTGTGTTTGTGTGACTGCTAATGTCTGATGTTGCCTGTGTTTGTGTGACTGCTAATGTCTGATGTTGCCTGTGTTTGTGTGACTGCTAATGTCTGATGTTGCCTGTGTTTGTGTGACTGCTAATGTCTGATGTTGCCTGTGTTTGTGTGACTGCTAATGCCTGATGTTGCCTGTGTTTGTGTGACTGCTAGTGTCTGATGTTGCCTGTGTTTGTGTGACTGCTAGTGTCTGATGTTGCCTGTGTTTGTGTGACTGCTAGTGTCTGATGTTGCCTGTGTTTGTGTGACTGCTAATGTCTGATGTTGCCTGTGTTTGTGTGACTGCTAATGTCTGATGTTGCCAGTGTTTGTGTGACTGCTAGTGTCTGATGTTGCCTGTGTTTATGTGACTGCTAATGTCTGATGTTGCCTGTGTTTGTGTGACTGCTAATGTCTGATGTTGCCTGTGTTTGTGTGACTGCTAATGTCTGATGTTGCCTGTGTTCGTGTGACTGCTAATGTCTGATGTTGCCTGTGTATGTGTGACTGCTAGTGTCTGATGTTGCCTTTGTTTGTGTCACTGCTAGTGTCTGATGTTGCCAGTGTTTGTGTGACTGCTAATGTCTGATGATGCCAGTGTTTGTGTGACTGCTAATGTCTGATGTTGCCTGTGTTTGTGTGACTGCTAGTGTCTGATGTTGCCTGTGTTTGTGTGACTGCTAGTGTCTGATGTTGCCTGTGTTTGTGTGACTGCTAATGTCTGATGTTGCCTGTGTTTGTGTGACTGCTAATGTCTGATGTTGCCTGTGTTTTGAGTGACTGCTAGTGTCTGATGTTGCCTGTGTTTGTGTGACTGCTAGTGTCTGATGTTGCCTGTGTTTGTGTGACTGCTAGTGTCTGATGTTGCCTGTGTTTGTGTGACTGCTAGTGTCTGATGTTGCCTGTGTTTGTGTGACTGCTAATGTCTGATGTTGCCTGTGTTTGTGTGACTGCTAGTGCCTGATGTTGCCTGTGTTTGTGTGACTGCTAATGTCTGATGTTGCCTGTGTTTGTATGACTGCTAATGTCTGATGTTGCCAGTGTTTGTGTGACTGCTAGTGTCTGATGTTGCCTGTGTTTGTGTGACTGCTAGTGTCTGATGTTGCCTGTGTTTGTGTGACTGCTAATGTCTGATGTTGCCAGTGTTTGTGTGACTGCTAATGTCTGATGTTGCCTGTGTTTGTGTGACTGCTAGTGTCTGATGTTGCCTGTGTTTGTGTGACTGCTAATGTCTGATGTTGCCTGTGTTTGTGTGACTGCTAGTGTCTGATGTTGCCTGTGTTTGTGTGACTGCTAATGTCTGATGTTGCCAGTGTTTGTGTGACTGCTAATGTCTGATGTTGCCTGTGTTTGTGTGACTGCTAGTGTCTGATGTTGCCAGTGTTTGTGTGACTGCTAATGTCTGATGTTGCCTGTGTTTGTGTGACTGCTAATGTCTGATGTTGCCTGTGTTTGTGTGACTGCTAGTGTCTGATGATGCCAGTGTTTGTGTGACTGCTAGTGTCTGATGTTGCCTGTGTTTGTGTGACTGCTAATGTCTGATGTTGCCAGTGTTTGTGTGACTGCTAGTGTCTGATGTTGCCTGTGTTTGTGTGACTGCTAATGTCTGATGTTGCCAGTGTTTGTGTGACTGCTAGTGTCTGATGTTGCCTGTGTTTGTGTGACTGCTAATGCCTGATGTTGCCTGTGTTTGTGTGACTGCTAATGCCTGATGTTGCCTGTGTTTGTGTGACTGCTAATGTCTGATGTTGCCTGTGTTTGTGTGACTGCTAATGTCTGATGTTGCCAGTGTTTGTGTGACTGCTAATGTCTGATGTTGCCTGTGTTTGTGTGACTGCTAGTGTCTGATGTTGCCTGTGTTTGTGTGACTGCTAGTGTCTGATGTTGCCTGTGTTTGTGTGACCGCTAATGTCTGATGTTGCCAGTGTTTGTGTGACTGCTAGTGTCTGATGTTGCCTGTGTTTGTGTGACCGCTAATGTCTGATGTTGCCAGTGTTTGTGTGACTGCTAATGTCTGATGTTGCCTGTGTTTGTGTGACTGCTAATGTCTGATGTTGCCTGTGTTTGTGTGACTGCTAATGCCTGATGTTGCCTGTGTTTGTGTGACTGCTAATGTCTGATGTTGCCTGTGTTTGTGTGACTGCTAATGTCTGATGTTGCCAGTGTTTGTGTGACTGCTAATGTCTGATGTTGCCTGTGTTTGTGTGACTGCTAGTGTCTGATGTTGCCTGTGTTTGTGTGACTGCTAGTGTCTGATGTTGCCTGTGTTTGTGTGACCGCTAATGTCTGATGTTGCCAGTGTTTGTGTGACTGCTAGTGTCTGATGTTGCCTGTGTTTGTGTGACCGCTAATGTCTGATGTTGCCAGTGTTTGTGTGACTGCTAATGTCTGATGTTGCCTGTGTTTGTGTGACTGCTAATGTCTGATGTTGCCTGTGTTTGTGTGACTGCTAATGCCTGATGTTGCCTGTGTTTGTGTGACTGCTAATGTCTGATGTTGCCTGTGTTTGTGTGACTGCTAATGTCTGATGTTGCCAGTGTTTGTGTGACTGCTAATGTCTGATGTTGCCAGTGTTTGTGTGACTGCTAATGTCTGATGTTACCTGTGTTTGTGTGACTTCTAATGTCTGTTGTTGCTGTTGCAGGAGACCCAACAGTGTTTGGCAACCTCCCAGACCCCGAGGTGGCGGAGGAGGCTGTTATTGCGGCTGTGAGGGCGCGGAAGTCGAATGGCTATGGCCCATCTGTAGGTAAGACAGAGGTGGAAGCTTATGGATTATATGCGTTTCTCCTTCAGGCATGGAGGGGAAGTTTCCATCTCCCCATGCAGTGAATGTCTTCATCAACCATATTGTCAAAATACTTGTCTTGTACCTGTAATGAGCCTTGGAACTGTCTCCAGTTATGTGGTCCCGAAAGATTCTTCTAACTGGACTATGTTTCTTCTGAAGATATGTGTTCTCAGATCCCCTTTTGGGGATTATAACCATGAACAACTAATCATGGATTTGGAGTGACCTTATCTAGGTATCCATGACTGGTATTACCTTATGGAAGAAATGATACCTCTCTGTACAGTATCATTAAAATCAGACCCTGTACTCTTAGTCCGATACCTCTGTGTGTCAATCAAGATCTGACGACAGCTCCATCCCAGTTGTATCCGGTAAACCCCGAATGAAACAATCTAAAAAAAAGTCTTGAGTGAACTTTGACCACCCAGTCTAAATGAAGGGTGAGCCAATCAGATGTCCCCTTTCTATAACTATTTGGCTTCATTTCTTTCCACCTCAATTCAGAAGTTCTGATCTCAGGATGGGAAATCTGCCAGAGTGCAGCTATGCCCTCAGTAATTCTGTCATATGGGGGTAGATGCCAGGGCTCTCAGATGTCACTGAATGTATATAATATACACAACAAGTTATAGAGCGACTTTGTTTCTGTATTTGGAACTTTCCATTATTACTAGGGGTCGGACGGGTAACTCAGTACCCAGGTCGGGTGGGTGCTGAGTAGCAATATTCCAGCAATATCACGGCAGGGGACACCACTAATAGTTTCTCACATTGTACCCATGTGGGGAATCGAACCCGGGTTTTCAACATGATGAACAAATGATTTAACTATGGGGCCGCCCCAGAAACCCCAATCCCTAACCCTGCCCCCTAACCCCGCCCAACCCAACCAGCACCCCCACCCCCTAACTCCGCCCCTAACCCCCAAATTGGTCATGACACTTGTGAGTTTGTGTTGCAGGCTGCAAGATGGCGAGGGAAGCTGTAGCTAAGCACATCTCGACCCCGTCGGCTACAGTGACAGCACAGGTAGGGGACATAGTGTACATATTGATTACTGACATCACCTACACGCACCTGCTGGAATGGACTATGTACATTCTCATTATGGCAATCTGGCACTGAATTGAAAATTGGGTTTCTTTTCAGAGAGACAGATTTACTTTTTGATCAAATGTTATATGTCACAAATCTTTCAATAAACAATGTTTTTTTTGCAATTTACATGGTCATGGTAACATATTAGTAATAATCGTGGTTTGTACATAGGAAAAGGAAAAAAGATGTATATTATATGGTTCAGTATTTAATATATTTTAAGGATACTTTTGTTTGGTAGAATATAAATGAATTTGAAAGGAAGGTTGGACAGGATCTGTCACTTGGCACTTTACTGGTGGCCAACTGGATAGCTCAGGAGTTAATAGTAGCAAAAAGGCTAACATAAGTGTGCATGGTAGCCAAAAGGCTAACTTGGGAGTGCATAGTAGCCAAAAGTATAACATAGGAGTGAATAGTAGCCAAACGTATAACATAGGAGTGAATAGTAGCCAAACGTATAACATAGGAGTGAATAGTAAAGGGTAACTTAGGAGTTAATAGTAGCCAAAAGGCTAACATAAGAGTGAATAGTAGCCAAACATTTAACAAAGGAGTGAATAGTAGCCAAACATAAACATAGGAGTCAATAGTAGCCAAACGTATAACATAGGAGTGAAAAGTAGCCAAAAGTATGACCTGGGAGTGAATACTAGCCGAAAGGCTAACTTGGGAGTGCATGGTATCCAAAAGGCTAACTTGGGAGTGAATAGTAGCCAAACATATAACTTGGGAGTGAATAGTAGCCAAACATATAACATAGGGGTGAATAGTGGCCAAAAGGCTAACTTAGGAGTTAATAGTAGCCAAACATATAACTTGGGAGTGATTAGTAGCCAAACATATAACATAGGGGTGAATAGTGGCCAAAACGCTAACATAAGAGTGAATAGTACCCAAGCGTATAACATAGGAGTCAATAGTAGCCAAACGTATAACATAGGGTTGAATAGTGGCCAAAAGGCTACCTTAGGAGTTAATAGTAGCCAAAACGCTAACATCAGAGTGAATAGTAGCCAAATGTATAACATAGGAGTGAATAGTAGCCAAACGTATAACATAGGAGTGAATAGTAGCAAAACGTATAACATAGTGAAAAGTAGCCAAAAGTATAACTTAGGAGTCAATAGTAGTCAAACATATAACATAGGAGTGAATAGTAGCCAAACGTATAACATAGTGAAAAGTAGTCAAAAGTATAACTTGGGAGTCAATAGTAGTCAAACATATAACATAGGAGTGAATAGTAGCCAAACGTATAACCTGGGAGTGAATAGTAGCTGAAAGGCTAACTTGGGAGTGCATGGTATCCAAAAGGCTAACTTGGGAGTGAATAGTAGCCAAACATATAATACAGGAATAGTAGCCAAAAGGCTAACTTGGGAGTGAATAGTAGGCAAAAGTATAGAAAAGTTGTGAATAGTAGCCAGTAGCCACTGTTTGCAACAGTATATCAGCACTATCCTGCACGGCAGATGTGTGGAATATAGTGATATCACTAAGATGGTGAATCGGAATGGAAAGGGCCTCAGTAAGAGAAGTCACCGGTTCACGGTTGTTCATAGCGTGGTGTTGTTCCAGGATGTCATTCTGTGCAGCGGCTGCTCCAGTGCCCTTGACCTTTGCATCACATGTTTGGCCAACCCTGGTCAGAACATCCTCATCCCAAGACCAGGATTCTCCATCTACAAGACGCTGGCCGAGTCCCTCGGGATCAGCATCCTCATGTACGACCTTATTGTGAGTACTTCTCAACAAGTGTAAAAAAAAGACCGTCGAGTGGATCCCTCCAAAATGGGAATCTCAGCTAAGATTCCCGGATCAGTATGAGACACTGGTTATGATCTTGGGCCTGTTGGCTGTTGGCACCAGCAAACACCAGGGTCACTTTGGGTTACTGCCATTCCTGGTGCATCACCTCTCTCCTCCCCCCGCCCCGCCCCCCCCCCCCCCCCCCCCCCCATCACACACACTTTGAGCCCTTTACCCCTCATTACACTGAAATGAGTATGAAAATTGATCCCATAAATTCATTTTGTAATTGTAAAGAGTTATGTCCCTTGCTCCGTGCTTTTCAACTTGGTGCATACTGTGTGAAATGGGGACAAGTTTTCACAGAAACTGAGTTATGTTTTCCAGAGAAGGGGCATTTTGTGTGTTTTAATTTCTTGTTTAACCATTTTATCTGACAACATGAAGCAGCCCAAGTGTGTATCTCTTCTTAAGGCTTTATAGGACTCTTTTTTTTTATAATTTATGTTCACTACTAAATAAACAAACAAACTTCTAAACAGCCCCATGTCAGGAGATAGGGATGACATTGCTTTCTTGTATGTCTTAATCATGTCAGTTGTAACACAAGTCAGTTCAAGTTGCAACATTTTGTTCTTTATCTGATATTAGGGGGAGGTTGGGTCGAAGCTTTGGACATTATAGTGTAAGGATGTGAGAGGTCTCTGAGATGTTCTCTCTCCGATATTGACGGGAGGTAGGGTCTAAGCTTTGGACATTATAGTGTAAGGATGTGAGAGGTCTCTGAGATGTTCTCTCTCCGATATTGACGGGAGGTAGGGTCGAAGCTTTGGACATTATAGTGTAAGGATGTGAGAGGTCTCTGAGATGTTCTCTCTCCGATATTGACGGGAGGTTGGGTCTAAGCTTTGGACATTATAGTGTAAGGATGTGAGAGGTCTCTGAGATGTTCTTTCTCCGATATTGACGGGAGGTAGGGTCTTAGCTTTGGACGTTATAGTGTATGGATGTGAGAGGTCTCTGAGATGTTCTTTCTCCGATATTGACGGGAGGTAGGGTCTAAGCTTTGGACGTTATAGTGTAAGTATGTGAGAGGTCTCTGAGATGTTCTTTCTCCGATATTGATGGGAGGTTGGGTCTCAGCTTTGGACATCATAGTGTAAGAATGTGTGACGTCTCTGTGTCTTCCAGCCGGAGAAGTCCTGGGAGGCTGACCTGGGTCACATGGAGGAGCTGATCGACGTCAACACCGCCGCCATTATCGTCACTAACCCTTCCAACCCCTGCGGCTCCGTGTACAGTCAGCGCCACCTGGAGGACATATTGGCGCTAGCGAACAAGTACAAGCTGCCAATCATTGCAGACGAAATATACGAGCATTTTGTGAGTACATACCTAAAAGACACATTCTCCGATTGCTGTGTTCTTGCCCCATGTTTATTTTTAGATGTATTTCATGATTGTGTAGTATGTTTACTTGAACACTCAGGGGTCAAAATGTTTCCAATTTGTGTTAGGGTTGCGACAGGTACTCGAGTACCTGATTACGGGTTGGGTAGCCTAGGACTCGAGTCCAATTTTCAGCTTTGGTCCAATTTTCAGGACTCGAGTACCCGTTCAGGGCAGATAACTCGTAAGTCACTTCAAAATGGACGACAAAGCGGACAAACGTTCAAATGTTTGGGCGTATTTTGACCTTGATGACACAAAGAAAAAGACCAAATGGCGTCTCTGTGGCATATGTATCAGCTACGCAGGAAGTTTTAAACACAAGAGCATTTACTTTGATATTCTGCATCACTTGTGGTTTTAGGTAAGCCATGCAGGCATTTAATAAAAAACATAATACCTTAGAATAGATCAATAGATGTTTTATGACCCTTTTTTCGCAAAAGCATTACAAACAAGTGGGACAACATTGAACTACGGGTACTCGAGTTCAGTTTTCGTACCCGGTCGCAACCCTAATTTGTGTCTGCCATCCCTTAGTTGTCCACACAACATCAGTCGTTCAAAACACTCAATACCTCGAAGCTTTATCATGATATTATCATACAACATCACTAATTTCTTTCTTATGCTTTCTTGGGCTTGACTTTATCAAACTGTGGGTACATAGATTATGTTCTGTACTGTAGCTGATCTATAACTCAAGTTGACCACAGTTTTCTGATATGATAATTAGATTATCCAACTAATGATAATCATTATGCATTATATGATGGTTGCCATTGATGACATTGCCACATAAGTACTGTTACCAAGGTAACAGTGAGTACCAACTGTACTAAAATCATGAGAGTCATCACAGATCTAAGATTTTATTTATTAGATTAATTTATGGATCCTGTTTGCAGCCTGGTTTTGTCTCTGTGCAACTAGGTTTTCATGTCAACATTCACCTAGTGCAAGTTAAATCAATTTCCGGAAATCGTGCCCTGAGACTAAATTAACACAGTGAATGTGCATATGCTGAAATGAAGACCCTCCTGTAGACTGGTTTCTGACTGTGCTTGCCTTGCCACACCTTTATGATGCAAAAAGACGAGAGTCTAGTTTCAACCAATAAGGCTTGTGCAGTGTTCAGAATCTTCCTAAAACCTAGACAATGAATGTAATAAAACTGTTACTTGGGTAAAAATAGATATATACTCACCGCCAAAAGAAACACGAACCATAGAAACATATAGAGAAGTATGTACGTTAAGAAGAGATGTTTCCAGTGTGTACCACTTAATGTCAAAACTAACAATCAGTCAAGTGTTACCACTTTGTCTTTATGCTGCACATGATTTCCAAACTTTACATGTTAATCTTGCACAAGGCAAAAGGTACGTCTCGAGTCATGGATCTTTGATGTCGCATGTGATTTGTTTATGAGAGTCGGTTCATACAACATAACAGTTTGTTCGTGTTGTGCATCAAACCAATCTGATATCTCTTGAATTCGATTTGCAAAGTTGCGTCCCTTGGGCATGCCAGAAACAGATGACTGTAGGTTCGATTCCTTGTCGCCCATTTATGTTTCTAGGTTTGTCAGCACCTTATCTGTGCTTGTGGCTTTCACAAAAATGGTAAACGTCTGAGACCTGCATCACATCAGGCTTTTCTCCCACATTTTGGTGACATGCCATGATATAACTGGAATACTGTTCAGAGCGGCATTAAACCAAGCCTTACTCTCTCCCTTACTTAAGCAATGTCCACACTCCTCTGTAAACACAAGACCCGTGGGGTAGAATAGGTCTTCATCAACCCATACTTGCCATAAAAAGGGACTATGCTTGTTGTAAAAGGCGACTAACGGGATCTGGTGGTCAGGCTCGCTGGCTTGGTTGATGCATGTCATCGATCCTAATTGTGTGGATCGATGCTTATGTTGTCAATCACTGGATTGTCTGGTCCAGACTCGATTATTTTACAGACCGCTGTCATATAGCTGGAATATTACTGAGTGCAGCGTTAAACAACAAACAAACAAACAAACAAACAAACTGTAAACACCAGGCCTGCTTGGGTGATCCCAGTAATGGTACATCTCAAACATGCTCACAGAATTCCAATCCAGCATGGCAGTTATCATGACCATGGTTGTCGAGTTGCAAAAAATCATTTGAGCCCATGACTGTCATTAGTCATGTATCGATGTGAAATTTGATACGCAGTGAGAGTGTGATATATGTAGTAACATATGTTGCATCATGTGATTATTTCTCAATTAAGAATCTCGGCAAGAAGACAAAAAAACAAGAATAATCTTTTCTGTCTGAGTCAGTGAATACAGTTTTTGTTTGAAGAATTACCTTGGGATCATTACTCAATATCCTTTTTTAGAGAGGGCAAGTCTTTCAGAATGATATTGTTTTACGAATAATATAGAAAAAAAAGGTCGGTAAACATGTTGCCCACAAAAAATCTGAAACCAAGAATTAGTCTGTGCCGTGTTCATGTATTTCCTCTGGTCACAGGTGTTCCCGGGCCTGAAGTACCACCCCATCGCCTCACTCACAAAGGACGTCCCTGTTCTCTCCTGCGGAGGACTGACTAAGAGGTGAGGTTTGTTTGTGTACCGCTGGCTAAATCACTTGGAAACATGTCAAGTCATGTGCTCAGTTTGATGTGAGCAGAGTTGTTCCCCTTGCCGTGCCACAGTTTAACATAGCTACCCCACGCACTCTAACTTTGAGCCGACCAGGATTATCCTCTAAATGCTGAGGACCAGGTAGGGTAGCAGGGTACACCTGTAGCACCTGTTAGAGTCTTTTGGTACGATACCCGTGAAGATCTGGGTTAGAATAGGTCTTCAGCAACCCATGCTTGTCATAAGGGGCGACTAGGGGGTTTGGGTGGTCATATCATAATATCCCAATTGTGTAGATTGATGCTCATGATGTCAATCACTGGACTGTCTGGTCCTGAATCAATTATGTACAGACCGCTGTCATACAGCTGGAATATTGCTGAGTGTGGCGTTATACAACAATTAAACAAACTTTTGGTACCACACGTCAGGGAATTAAACTTCTGTCCCTCTTCTCTCTGAGCAAACCCTCTATCCACTCGACCATAGATGCAGTCTCCCCATTCTGGAATTGCAGGATATGTTTGTATGGACGTATATATACTGTATATATATGATGTATTGTTTTACTACATAACGACACCATGGGAGTCCATACAATAACGGCATATATTCAACGTACTGACACAATAGTTCACATCATTGTGGCAACGTCCATGGTGGTCCACAGAATAATGTTGCATGGATGTCAGATTATAACATTGCCACAACATAAAATATGTATCCAAAACCTAACTACAACGTTCCAATATGACTTTGAGACCATGTAGAAATGACATATCACAACATTTGCTCACATTGTCCACTGAATAATGTTGCTTGGATCAAGTTGGATGTAATATGATAACATTGTGACAGTGTAAGATTGTAAGCTGGGATTATTACATACAGCTGTGTTCAGTGACTGTGTCTACCTACAGGTATCTGGTGCCGGGCTGGAGACTGGGATGGATTATCATCAATGACAGACACGATGTACTTACTCAAGTAAGTTAATACGATAACAGTGTTAGAAATTGACACTAGTCTTGTAGTCCTTGCCAAACTGCCCAATAGTTAAGGTATCATAAGGACTAGTAGAAATTTGCCCATTTTAAGGGTTTTGCTATATGTTATCATTCTAAGGACTAGTGGGCTAAAACTCTTAGTTTCTGTTGCTGTTAATAGTTTTCAGGGCCATTTAAAACATTTACAACTGCTTTGCAAGTGACAAACTTGACACGTGTAGTGAGTGAATGAGGTTAACACTACTGTCAGTAAAACTAAAGTCATGACATTAATCCCATCTAGTGGGCTGAAAATGTTAGTTTCTACAGCTGTCCGATAACTTCTGACTTTTTACTAAAATGTATTACATCTTCTTTTACCACTTGACTCCATGAGTCTTTTGAGTAAGCAATTAGCTAGAACAGAGTTGTCTCCCTTCTACTGCTGGTGGTAGTGTGTTTGTTAGACTGACCTCTTGCCTTATGCCTTGCCAAGGCGTGTCGCCTCATCTATCTTGCTACACTAAGTGTAACGTTAGTGAGCAGGTGCAACAGAGACAGGGGACTAGTCAAGGTGTTTGTTGACTGCTGCCATCTTCCCGAGGCAAGGGAGTTAACTGACTATGAAAGTCCAGTTTCCACCCTTGCTGAACTAGGCTTGAATTTTAGCCCCACCAGTGGCTATGTCCCTTCTGTGCCCCTTCTGTTGACTAATCAGATTCCATCACTCATATCACTTGCATTTGCTTCAAACAAAATGGCAGTGCCCCGTCAACATGGTCAAGGTGATGTGTTAGATAATCAAGATATACATTGTAATAAAACGGGTCTTACCTCGCGAAAAGCATTAAATTATGTGAGCACTTCATCAAAAACATGAAGGAATTTGCCAAATATCTATCGACGCCCAGTTGGGGGTACACATGCTTTGCAAATCCTTCAGTCGACCGAAATCTGCATGTCGTTGTTTACAAACCAGATGTCTAGTTAGTTATGCAATTTTGATTGAACTCTGCATAGACTCATTAGTCCAGCCAAAATGTAACTTCATAATATCAGCCTAGCTCTGCAAGGGTGGAAACTGGATTTATATAGTCAGTTAACTCCCTTGCCTCAGGAAGATGACGCTTGCTGATTCTCTGTCTTGTTGTAGGTGAAGTCTGGGTTGGTCCGCCTGTCACAGAGGATCCTTGGACCCAATTCTCTCATCCAAGCAGCTGTACCAGATATACTAGAAAAGACACCTGCCTCATTTTACCTGGAAACTCTCAACTACATCAAGGTGAGGTGTAATAGCATCAGAAATAAAAGAATGTTTAAGATAATGTTATTTTCTAAGTAATCTCATGTCTTGAACGTTCTTACAAGAATCTTTTCATTCACAAGTGCCAGTCAGTTGAAGGTTGGCATCTAACAACAACTAGAACTCAACACCCCCTGACAGATTTAGATACGTGTAAAGTTGAGCAGGACATGATCATTTGTATGAATAAAACTTAAATTCATTTACAACATGATGTTGTTCATCATCAAACAAAACGACCCGTGAAGATTATGGGGTAGAATAGGTCTTCAGCAACCCATACTTGCCGTAAAAGGCGACTATGCTTGTCGTAAAAGGTGACTTATGGGATCGGGTGCTCAGGCTCGCTGACTTGGTTGATACATGTCATCGATCCCAATTGCGTGGATCGATGTTCATGATATTAATCACTGGATTGTCTGGTCCAGACTTCATTATTTACAGACCGCCGTCATATAGCAGGAATATTGCTGAGTGCGGCGTTAAACAACAAACAAACAAACAAACATCAAACAAAACATTGCCCTATTCTGGGTTAAGGTCCAATGCTGGATTCACCCAGAAATGTTGGCATCTGTGGAGATTCCAAGGAAGAAACACCCAGTACTCCATACTTGTCACAGGAGTTGGAGATTTCATTTCAGTTACCAAGACACTAGTCCTTTCCTTGTGCTATCTTGTCTGCCCATCTGCCCGTGGCTGGTAACTTTTCTGTCGGGCTGTCTGACATATTCCTCCACATGCCCACTTGTCTGGTAGATAATTTGAAGACTACTTACGTGTTCAGTCTTATCATAACTTCTCCGAGATTTACAAATAATTGTTTGCATTATTTCAACCAAATGAAGACACGATTTGTCTCTTGTGTTTCCTAATTTTTCAATATTTATCATGTCTGAATGCAGGGGGGCGGACGGGTAGCCTAGTTGTTAAAGGGTTCGCTCGTCATGCCGAAGACCCGGGTTCGATTCCGGACATGGGTACAATGTGTGAAGCCCATTTCTGGTGTCCCCCGCCATGAAATTGCTGGAATATTGCTAAAAGCGGCGTAAAACCATACTCACACACTCACTCTGAATGCAGGCAGGTAACTTAGAAGATGGGCAGGCAACACTAATGGGTCACCTGCCCTACTGTCTGCTTATGTTTTAAAATTATTTTAAACACTTGTGCAATGAACCACTAGTTTATCGTGGTACCGATGTACGTCTGCTGACCTTGGCATTAAACAACCCTCATTACTCCCCCGTTGCTGGATGTTTATGTCTCTCCATGTTCGTATCTGTACAGAGGAACGCCGATGTGTTCTATGAGCGTCTGTCTGCCGTCCCGGGGCTGGTTCCGGTCATGCCGCAGGGTGCCATGTATATGATGGTAATGTATTCAACACTGACTCAGTCTTCAAGGAGATATCATCACATGCGCTGTGATACCTGTGAACATCCGGGATAGAATTGGTCTTCAGCAACCATGCTTGCCGTAAGAGGCAACTAACGGGATTGGGTGGTCAGGCTCACTGACTTGGTTGATGCATGTTATCAAATCCCAATTAAGTGGATCGATGCTCATGATGTCAATCACTGGGTTGTCTGGTCCAGACTCGATTATTTACAGACCGCTGTCATATAGCTGGAATATTGCTGAGTGTGGCGTTAAACAACAAACAAACAACATACACTGTGTAATCATGAACCAGTAGTAATATTAACAATTCTACCTTGCACTGAAATTTCGATTGGTCCAAATACTATTAAAATTAGGTACAGTTCAATCCATTTATCTCAAACACCATCATCTCTAATGTACCGATACCTCGAACATAGTCCCCAGTCCTGAATGCCTCACTTAATGAATACGTCCCGTGAAGATCCGGGGTAGAATAGGTCTTCAGCAACCCATACTTGCCGTAAAAGGCGACCAACGGGATCGGGTGGTCAGGCTCGCTGACTTGGTTGATACATGTCATCGATTCCAATTGCGTGGATCGATGCTCATGATGTCAATCACTGGATTGTCTTGTCCAGACTTGATTATTTTAGACCGCCGTCATATAACTGGAATATTTCTGAGTGCGGCGTTAAACAACAAACAAACAAACTAAATGAATACATGTAAATTTGCCCTCTTTTCTTACTCATGCAGGGGGCGGTCGGGTAGCCTAGTGGTTAAAGCGTTCGCTCGTCACGCCGAAGACCCGGGTTCGATTCCCGTCATGGGTACAATGTGTGAAGCCCATTTCTGGTGTCCCCCGCCGTGATATTGCTGGAATATTGCTAAAAGCGGCGTAAAACCATACTCACTCACTCACTTACTCATGCAGAAAAGTCCCGTCTTGATGGCATTCAGATGTGTCTAATTCGCTATGGAATACATATTTGTAAATCTTGCCACAGATATTACATTATCTTTAATGTCAATGGTGAAACAAATTAGCTGTTTACTTACTGAAACATTTCTGCCGCATATGAATTAGAAGTGGTTTTGCTGAGCAGTTGTTTGATGTGAAGCGAGTAGTTTTCGAATTTTCTCCAACTGTTGCAGGTTGGGTACGACAAGGACTTGTTCCCCGAATTCAAGACAGACATTGACTTTACACAGAGTCTGGTGACAGAGCAGAGTGTCTTCTGTCTACCTTCCACTGTAAGTGTCATGGACCCGTGTGGATTAAGAATGTATCCATCTATGCCTTGTACTCATATATATATTTACATCTGATACCCGTGAAGATCAGGGTAGAAAAGGTCTTCAGCAACCCTTGCTTGCCATAAAAGGTGACTATGCTTGTCGTAAGAGGCGACTACGGGGATCGGGTGGTCAGGCTTGCTAACTTGGTTGATGCATGTCATCGTATTCCAATAAGGTGGATTGATGCTCATGATATCAATCACTGGATTGTCTGGTCCAGACTTGATTATTTACAGACCGCCGTCGTATAGCTAGAATATTGCTGGGTGCGGCATTAAACAACAAACTAACAAATAAAGAAAAGTTAGTGTCAAGGTGAGGAAACTCATTCCTACATATCATCATCAATTCATATCCAACATCAGTGTACCCCATTCTGAAATGGATTGTACACTGGAAGTCTAGGTCAAGTTCTGGTTGTAAAAACGTCATATCTGAGATACTCTGACATATGTGAGTTCTAATCCCATGTGGTACAACAAAACCGTTCTTAGTATTCACCATGGATGCCATGTACACATGGCATGAGACCAGATTCACCCACTCACCATCCTTGGTAGATGTGTTTCAATGATGAGGCTGATGAAGGTGGGATGGGTAGAAGGGTACAACGGTTGATGGATGAGTTCGGAGCCTCACATTGAAGGAATTGTGTAATAGTGAAATCTTTATTAAATAATGTCATGGAGGTATATCCACAAAACTTGAGTTCATTGAGCAAATCTTTTCACTGTGACAAGTCAGGGGTCTGTGACCTTTAGGAAATGGACAAACTTGAGGAACATGCAGTGATCAAGTACTTGCAGTAAAAGGGTTTAACACCAAAAGTAATCCTTAAAGATGGGAGTACAACACAAGGGAAAGATGTCTCCGTTAAGAAGTGGACAGCAGATTTAAGAATGGCAGGGCGATCCATGAAGACATCCCCCATCCTGGAAGGCCTGTGACATCAGCAACAGAGAAATGATCGAGAGAATCCATGATATAATGATGACTGCCTTGGGACTGACTGAGCGTCTTGTTTCTAGTTCAGTAGGCATTTCTGAGGACATTATCAGGGTTCATTTGGCAATGAAGAAGGTATCGGCTTGTTTGGTTCCTGACCCTAAGACATCTGATCAAAAGAGCACCAGGCACAATAGCTCTGTTTGAAGCTGATCCAGAAAGGTTCTTGCAACAATTTGTGACTACTGACAAAACCTGGGTTCACCACTTCCAGCTAAAGTCAAAATGACAAGTAGTGGAGTGTTTGACATCACCACTACCAAAAGAGGCAAAGGCTGTCCCATCAGTTGGATAGGTTATGGCATCCATGTTCTGTGATGCCGAGGATGTCATCATGGTGGACTATCGTCTAATAGGTCAGACAATAAACGGAGCATATTATGCAGCACTTTTGAGGAAAGTACAGCGTGAGGTTATACCTATGAGACATGTCCGTCAGGACAGTAGGCCAGTACACAAGTCAGTCATTACCATGGTTACAATTTGACTCAAATGATGATGTCTTTGACAGGCAGGAGAACGACTTCTACTAAACTGGGATAAAATCAATATGGAAGGGGGTTTGGGTGTAAAATAAATACTTTTAATATCTTTCAGGTCAAGTTTCTCTCTCTGTGAGGCTCAGAACTAATCACTACCCTTGTATTTGTAGGGTGTGATTCACTGACCGTGACAATACATCACATGCATGTAAAGTACAGTTCCATGCTTTAGAGGCATCCCTGACTTTTATTATCCCCCAGCACGAAGTGGAAGGGGGATATAGGAATCGGTCCTGTCTGTCCGTCTTTCCGTCCATCATGTTTCGTTTCTGGGGCAGAACTAAAAAAACATGAGAGATATCTTAACCAAACTTGGTGGGTCTAGTGGTGTACTGGTGCCTTTTGATAGTTTGGGATTTTTGAAAAATTAATTTTAGAGTTTCCATGGCAACAACTTTGACTTAAACTGAAAAGGGTGCTAGTGCTCGTTTCTATACAGCAGATCTTGATAACGGTATAATATTTCCTCACAAAACTTGTCACATTCATAGGTCTCATGGTGAACTGTTGCCTTTTGATAGTTAACAAATTTTTGAAAAAATTATTTTTCGAGTTTCCATGGCAACGACTTTGACTTATACTGGAAATGGCACCAGTGCTTGTTTCCGGAACAGATCTTGAAAACCATACAATATATCTTGCCTTGCACACAACCAGACGTGTCATATTTGTTGGGGATATGAGTATTTTAGGCTTGTATAGACTTTTGACTTGTGCAGCTGTTACATTCCAGGAGGCTGCATTAAGTATTGGAGAAAACACGCTAACGAGGTTTTGGTAGACAGAGCATGCCCTGAGGAGAGGGAAAAACCAAGGGGGCGAAGCCCCCACGGTTTTTCCCGACCCCAAGGGCATGCTCTGTCTACCAAAACCGAGGGAAAGTGTTTTTCCATGCTTATAAACCAAAAAAATAAACTTAAAACAACATTTATCAACATTGTTTTGAACATACTTTCCACGAACCTTAAGAAACGCTCGTAAAATATCTGTTGCTGGCGTACGGATCTTGAAAAGGACATTCTAAAAACCAGTGAGGCTTATCAATACCTCTGTAGCCTCATGGTACACTCACTGGGCTACAGATATGAAGGTTGCGAGTTCGATCCTCGGGAATATAAAGAAAACATTTGTTATTTGATTTTACTTTTCATTACATGTTACAATCTGAACGGAAGTTATATTAATAAAATACCCAGGACACTATATAAAATCCCTGGGATATTATATAAAATCCCAGGGACATTACAACGTCCCTGTTTATGAGATTTAACCCGACTGGAAAGTAAAGCCTCACAATAGGTCTTAATGCCTATAGAAAGAAGTCTCTTACTTAATAGCGATCCCAATGAATAGGTTTATAAACATGACATCCTCACTCTCTCCCTGCAGTGTTTCCAGTACTCCAACTACTTCCGCATCGTGTTGACCGTGCCCACAGAGAAGGTGACTGAGGCGTGCGACCGGATCCAAGAGTTCTGCAGCAACCATTACACCGATGTGCTGAATGGTGTCAACGGACACCAGCATTGATCATGTGGTCTTCATGCATGGAGCAGCACTGTTCAAGCATAGAGCAGCACTGTTCAAGCATGGACCAGCACTTATCAAGCATGGACCAGCACTGTTCAAGCATGGATAAGCACTGTTCAAGCATTGATCAGCACTGTTCAAGCATGGATCAGCACTATTCAAGCATGGACCAGCACTGTTCAAGCATGGACCAGCACTGTTCAAGCATGGAGCAGCACTGTTCAAGCATGGACCAGCACTGTTCAAGCATGGACCAGCACTGTTCAAGCATGGACCAGCACTGTTCAAGCATTGATCAGCACTGTTCAAGCATGGACTAGCACTGTTCAAGCATGGACCAGCACTGTTCAAGCATGGAGCAGCACTGTCCAAGCATGGACCAGCACTGTTCAAGCATGGACCAGCACTGTTCAAGCATGGACCAGCACTGTTCAAGCATGGACTAGCACTGTTCAAGCCATGATAAAACATGTTTAAGAATGATCAACGACTGTTTTGTATGGTTTGGTCATAGATTCAGCTGTGATTGAGCCTAGATTATGCAGTTCTTGAACATAGTTTAGGCTGTGTTGGAGTGTGAGTTAAGACATGTTTATGCATAGATTAAACTGTGTTTGAGCATAGAATAAGCACTGTTTGATTCTTGATGGCACCAGTCACAGATCTGCCAATGTATAGCTGTGGGGATACATGCAGACAGGGATGTAGATGGTGAATGTAGTTTGGGGCAATGATCCTGCCATGTACAAAGGGGTTTCCTGTACAGTGGGACAATTCACTTGTTCAGGGATATTACTGATAACAAATTGTCTTTTTAGCGGCCTTTCTCCTGTGTCATTACAATTTATATACTACTCAAAAGAAGTTAAGGATCACCTGATTCTTTCATATTACTTTAGTTAATCTCTCATGTCATGACAGGTTAACTTTACCATTATGAAAGGATCGGGTGATCCTTAACTTCTTTTGAGTAGTATATTTACATTCTTCAGGACATCATGGAAAACATTCTGTAATTTTAGAAATAGATGGATTTTGAACTATTTTTTCAAATATTTATTTTCCATAAAATAATATTCTTATAGAAGTCTTTTTTCCGCTCGTGATGAACACATGAAGTATTGCTACAGGCATGTACCTCAACACACTAACAGGTGCTCCAGTGTATATTTTCTATAAAACTCTATACATCTCGTTAGCACAAGCACAGGTCATGCTGCACTGAAGTTGGTGAAAGTATCACTATTTCTGAAGGTATCACCGCAGCAAGTCTGTAAAATATATTAATCTATTATTTTGTGCAAATGATATATTTTTGATATTCCAGCTGACCTATGCATGTATTATAGTGCCTTTGATATTTTGATGCATCTTCTCTATTTACTCTTGATTGATTACAATGATGTCCATGATGTAGCCGTGGACGATGTAGTTGTGAGCGGTGCCGCTGTGGATGATGTACATGTATTATGTAGTGAAATGTATAAGACAAGACATGAACATGTTTCTAAGGAAATTGGGTGGTCAGGCTTGCTGAGTTTGCTGGTGGATTTCGTCAAACCCCAATTGCTTAGATCAATGTTCATGATGTCAATCCCTGGATTTTCTGGTCCAACTCGATTATTCCAGACCGTTATCATACAGCTGGAATATTGCTGAGTGCGGCGTTCAAAAGTGAAACAGTTCTGATTATTTTGATGGTGTTTTTTTTGCTATGTTTCAAGTAATACTTTGATTTTTCTGATCAGTATTGTTTTAAACCTAAGGTCTTATGTGTGACATGGGTTAAATTGTTTTTTTATGCAAATTTACACGCACAAAACGTTGGAGTTCCTTGCCTAGCACAAAATGAGGTTGAATTCTCAAATTGTTACACCAAGATAATTATTTTAAAAATGTCAAGGTTTAAGACCTGTACATTTGAATTGTTGAGTTTGTTAGTTAGTATGATGATATTTTATTGAAATGTTAAGTTTATGTGTTTGTTATCAGTTGAGAAACTTGCCTGAAGTTTTTTTAACATGTTTTCTGAGTTTTTAAAAGTATTATTGTTACATGAAAGGATGGAGTATTACTACAACTTTCTTAGGATAGCGTATCACAAACCCAGCTGTCCACAATTGGCAAAGTAGTCAAACAATCGGCAGATTTGTCAAACAGTCAGTTACAGCTGCAAATAAATGTAGGTTTAGAGCTTGTATTACACACAACTACTGGATATTATTATGGCCTAAACGGCAATTGTTTCTAAGAAACAAAACAATTGTCCTCAAAAAGATATGAATCCATTAAGTTGTTAGTGTTTGGAATGCAGATCCACAGATCCTTTTTTCAACAATTATTTAGAAAAATAATTAAAATTAACACTTTTTTTCTCTTGCTGACTTTCAGACAAAACTTTTTGCATATTATTAGGAAAAAACAACTCTTTTATCGCTGCTGATACTGTTTAGTATCTTTATCATAATCCATGTTTAGTGCGGCTGTACCAAGATACTAAGTACAATGACTCCTTGTTAATTCAGTTTCATGGGGATCGTGAATGTTTTGTGAGTCAACCATGCAAAGTATTATTATTAGAATCAAGTGACGATATACTGTAAATCTTGAAATTAATGTGAGAGTGATTAAAATGTGCGAAATGCAAGTGGTCTTTATTCACATTAGGGGCGGTCGGGTAGCCTAGTAGTTAAAGCGTTCGCTCGTCACGCCGAAGACCCGGGTTCGATTCCCGACATGGGTACAATGTGTGAAGCCCATTTCCGATGTCCCCGACGTGATATTGCTGGAATATTGCTAAAAGCAGTGTAAAACCATACTCACTCACTCACTTATTCACATTAATGAAACTTCGCATTGGTTTATTGAGCAGCAGTTGTTAAAGCACATAGAAATGTAATTTAAAGAATAGGAATTACACAATGGACATCCAGTGAGTTATCACTGCTGGGGTCAAGAGTTCTACCCACTCGTGTCAAACAAGGCATCATTGACCACTCCAATCAGTGAACTGTTGTTGTTTCAATTATTTTATTGCCTTTGAACTTTCTTAATGCCAGTCAACAGAGTAAACATATAAACTGTGTGTAGTTTTTAGGAAAACACTGTTTATAGTTATTACAAGTGCTTTACTCAGTTCTTATAAGTGGTGCTATTTGTGTTTGATTGGATTAAGGTAAGGATGTGTATCATTCCACTGGGGATGGGGTGGGGGAGTCACACTGGTATTGAGTCGCATTTTTGGCTAGGGTTCAGCATTCGTATTAATTTGGAGACGCATTAATTTCAAGATTTACAGTATTTTATCAATGGGATTATATTCCTTATCAATGTTTCCAGTTGAGGGAGTTTGAGTTGAAATGACTTCTGCATATCGTTATTTTGCTCCTTAACGTTATATTTAGGAGGTTATTATGACAATGAAGTATGATTTGAAATGATTGTGATATAAATATCTTCAAAGACAGTCCATGAATATGATTGTGATCAGAGTTATGAAGATTTAGCAGGCGTACGGTGACAACATCGTGTTTTAATAACGATATACATATGTAGGATCTGAACTTTGTGTTGTATCTGCTGTGTTTTGAATTTTGAGGTGTGATATCACCATTTGATATGTGTAGAATGAAGGTGTAGTTAATAAGGAGAGCTTACTTAAACATTTAAACACTGGTTGTATGTTCCATCTCTCATGATAAGTTTGACAAAAGTGAAGGTTATCTTTGACTCTGTAAAAGGCATGTTCCTCTGCCAATGTAGAATTACGCTGTTGGCAAACATACTATTGACCAGAACACAGATCATAACATACTTTTCACAAGAAAAAAACCTCACCTGATTTTTCATATGACTATGGTTATTCTGTCATGACAGATTAACTATAGTAATATTAGAAAATCCGGTCGGTGGGGTAGTCTAGTGGTTAAAACGTTCGCTTGTTAAGGCAAAGACTGGGTTCGATTTCCGACATGGGTACAATGTGAGAAGCCCATTTCTGGTGTCCCCAGCCGTGATATTGCTAAAAAGTGGTGTGAAACCATACTCACTCGCTCATTAAAAAATCGGGTGTTCTTAACTTCTTTTGTGTAATATATTTCCTATTCTCTGTTTAACTGGCAACAGTGTGGCCTTAGACTACTTGAACAGAACAAAGTGATATCAGTGTGTTGTCATGTACTGCTAATGTCCTTCGGTTAGACCAGATTGATGCTGAGGAAATTTTGTAATGTGGGTTTGATACCAATACCATTTTTCTGCATTTTCTGTATGAATTTTGACATTTATAATGGGTAATATGTAAATAACCTCCAAAATATGTGAGTAAGGGTGGATTTTTTTGTGAATTGATACTGTGGATCCATCTCCACTATTTTTGTAGTCCTTCATAGCATGTTATTTTTAGATATTTGCCTGATTATTTTTGACTAACTTTGGTATGGCAAGTAAGTGTAGCCTGGTTTTGTCATCATCATCATGTTGCTCCTCCAGATAGTGATGCATTCCAAGTCCGCATATCAGAACTGTGGAGACGGTTCCAGTTTATTTTGTTAAAACATGATGCTCTGAGTATCTTATTGTGATAGAGAATTTACAAGCTTTGCAATTAAATATCTGTGTTATTTTTTAGAAGTAAAGCCGTCAATGTGATATAACATTAATTTATGACATGTCAGATTTCTCATACAGTACAATTATGATATGATTGTTTTTCTCTCTGTTGGCATGTTACGAGGGCATGACCAATGTCATTTTTTGTTATGCCAGTGGGTACAGGTGATATGGGGTACAGGTGACTCAATCATTTAACATGCCACAAGTTGTCTCCCTTACCCGTGTCAGGATCTGCTGATCATGGGTTTGAGTCCTAGATTCCCCTACTGATCATGCTCAGCATCCCCCTTGTGCTGGAAGCTTCACAATGGCAGAACAGTGTGAGCTGTATATAAGGTATCAGGTTGCATACTCTCCAGGGAGCTGAGAAAGAAAATTGAGTGCACACTGATCCATTGACTGGGGTAATAATGGGTTTTTTTAGAGCGTGCTTTAGGGTGTGGCGTTATCGTATTATTAATATGCACATAATTATTGGTGTAGCAGTGGTAATGACACACTAACCATGGTGGGTGGGTGCTCAGTTGGGTTACGTATATGTATATGCAGGGTAACATCATGTACCTGTAAGGTTGAATTCGATTCTTTTTAAAAGTCAATGCAAAATATATCTTATTCAGATATTAAAATTGAACTAGTAGAATACAGGCCATCAGAGGTAAGATGATCTGGACTCTTTGATAGGTATTTAGAAGTTGGAAGAACTGTTGTTCTGAAATATGGACAGAAGACTTGTGATAACAAATGCAACTGACCAAAGATTGCAAATATGATCTTTTTACATTGTATTAGTTTTAAGATGCTCTCAATATGCAGGCGTTTACTTTGTTTAAATACCGGTACCATCATATATATATATTTATATATGCGTACACAAGTTTTGAAGTTTCAATTTGTTTAATATCAGTCGTGTGTGTTTTGTTATCTGTAGTAAGTAGTGAAGATTACTGAGCTGTGATGCTGTGCAATGAATCTACTGGTCCCGGTGTGTAATGTATTATATATGTCTCATAGGGTTGTTAGTGTATTGACCTGACCAGGATACTGGCATTCCTGGAAAGACTGATGACAATCTCTGACAACACGACTTGGTGTTACATGTAGGCAGTCTCTGACAACACGACTTGGTGTTACAGGTAGACAATCTCTGACAACATGACTTGGTGTTACATGTAGGCAATCTCTGACAACATGACTTGGTGTTACATGTAGGCAATCTCTGACAACACGACTTGGTGTTACAGGTAGACAATCTCTGACAACATGACTTGGTGTTAC